AGCGACGAGCGCAAAAATCAATATGTACTTTTATCCATGTAAGCGCCTTTTCAAACAAAAACTGTCGGATTTTTGCTGATGATTTGATGTCTGCGAGACTAACTACTTGACTCTCCTTTATGCCTCTGTGACGGCGGATCCGGTCGCGTATAATGCAAGGATGCTGTAGCAAGAGTAAAGACGAGAATATCGGTCAGAGACCGAAGACTTGTCGATCGGAAGTTAGGGGATTCCACTCCTACTCCATAGTGACACCTTGTGTCCCATCACTATTTAATTAACAACTCGTTAATTATACGACATAATTCATCCAAAATCAATAGGCTTCTGGTCCGAGATATGATGAATGCACATGCAAAATTTAGAGCAGATTCCACATCGCTTTTGTGAGATATCGCGTGCATCTAACAGCAGACAGACAGACAAATACCTATCAACATACTTACCTATTAAGATCGACAAGTAATAACTATCGTAAGTGATTCAAGAGTCTTGCTGCACATTAACACAATATATTTCTGGAACGTTTCGACTGACCAAGGTCAGACTTCTTCAGAAATGTATTTGTGTTAGTGTTCAGCAAGACTGTCAGATTTTTTATGGGGAAATATCTCGGTGTTGAAAAGGGTCACACAAATTGCCTGGTTTGTCTGGTTGTGATCCACCTGTTACAGACCGATGCTTTAGAACGTATTCGAAAGATGATATTATTCGGTTTTCGTTCACTGAATTCTTAACAATACTTTACAACTGACTGGCGCAATCGCAGGGTACTAAGGCTTAATAAACAAATGAATACTGTTTTCATAGAACAATACCAAACAATACGGACGAATGGCTTAAATCAAATAAAGCGGAACACGAACTGTAACAGATAAAAGGAGATGATACGTAGAAGCCGCGTAGAGTGTAAATAACTTGGCGGCACTGAAACAGTAGGTCATACGTGCGCAATACTTGTAAGACCGTAAGAGGAATTGTATAGAATGAATATACGTACATGGAGCAATAAGAATGTCTTTTAATTTAAACCAAAGTGCAGCAATTCAATAATATAGGGTGTCCATAAAGTCTTCATTTTTTTTTCAAATTGGCAAGGAAATTTATCGATACCATACCTTCTTAGATGTATGAAAACTTAAACAATTACTGATTAAAAAACAACAATCCTGGTTAAGATATATTGAGAACTGACTTCATAACAAAATTGAAATTGCGAGGGGACTTTATGGACACCCGGGAATCATGCAATTCGACAGTCTTGTTTACCATAGTTACAACATCCTTGTATTATACGGATTCACTAGCATAAAGGCATCGGGGAAGGATTAGGAATTAGTTCCGGATAACCTCAGCTTGAAGTTTATGATAACGGCAAAACTAATTGTTATTCGATTATATTTCAACAATATATAATGAAAACTCTCGGAATTCAACGTGAACTTGCACTGTACTGGCTGAATCCTAGGGCGCCACTGAACATAGGTGACGATAAATATTACTGGTTTATCGCGCCTCCCTTACGCTGAAATAATACATCATTTTTATTTTATCTCACTGTTTGTACACTTTCGTATTTTGGATATGTGAAAAAATTGACTGAACATAGTTAAAAACAACTCTAACCACTATGCAATTCATGTTTAGCATTAAGTATATAAGTATAAGTATCGCGATGGAGGACAAGGATTCGCCAACAGACCCGAACGAACATAACGAAGATGTGAGGTAAGGCCATCCTTGATTTAAACTTGCGATTAATAATCAGTGACGTCAACATAGTCTGGACCAGTAACGGGCACACTAAGGACCGATTTATTAAGTCTAGGTTAGGTGGGCAGGGGAGTACCCAGGTGTGTAAAAATAAAAAAATATATATAAAAATGCAAAAATAAAAACATTTTTTGTCTGTTTACATAGCAATTTTTCGTATATTCTAGATTTTAAAGAGCGTTTTAAGATACGAAAGATTGCTTTGTATGATTATATGCAGAAAGCTTTTTTTGGATAAAATCTTTATTTAAAAAGGGGGGGTTTCTACCCGCATAGCCACCCCATCCCCCACCCCAACGGGTTTATGTTCCTACCCAATATACTAATTTCTTAAGGTTATCGCTGCCTATTTATTTGTTGAATATTTCTTTCACGTTTCCCGATTGATATTACTAGCTAATCAATATTTTTACGCTTGAATGGCATTGATAGGTTTTATCTGAAAAAAATCAATTGTTATGACATAGTAGGTTAATGATAATAATGATTGTTACATAAGAAGTGAGAATTGAGGTCGTCGTCTTCTGTGTATAAGTCTATCAAAACGCTAATTCTGTGCATTTGAAATACGCTAATATTTTACAAATAAAAGCAGTATATCATGTTCTATATGATTCAGAAATAACGGTTATATCTGTACAAATTCTAAAAATATTTGTATTAGAGAGAGAGAGAGAGAGAGATTTATTGTTTCGTCAGAAAACAAGCAAATGGTACAATAGAATATATACAAAATATGCAAGTTAGTTTGGTATAGACTGGAGGAAGCGATACAACCATAGAGTCATCAGAGTCAGCTCCCCCTATTAGTGTGCAGCAATACTCATTAGCAACTTCAAACAGTTATTTTTTCTCTTGTTATAGAATTATTCATTGTGCGCATGATATGGATTCACCAGTACCGAGAGATAAAAGAGGGATATGCAGTTAGTCCTACAGAAATATGAGAATATACTGTGTTAGTATGCAGCAACCAGCAAGGCCCCTAAATCACTTCGGACAGTTATTTTTATTCTTGCTAGAGCGCCCTTATACTATTCGTATGAGGGCGCAACCCTAAAGGAAGGTTTAGTAGTTAGTTTTACGCATTGCCCGAGGAACATTACAAATTTGTATTTGAGTTAAGTGCAGCAAAACTTCTGAATCACTCAGAATAGTCACTCGTGATACAGACTTCTTGCATTTATGGACTCGTATCCGCCAGCGCAAAAAAGTAAACAGCGGAAAAAGTAGTTCGTTTTGTGCACGGTGTATAAATAACACAATCGCGGTAGCGCTCAGGCAATGGACGTCATTTTGTGCTCATTCCTCTCAGTCATCTTACACGGCGCCGTATAGGAATTTCGTACACAATCATTTAAACATACCTATTATCTTCTTGTAAACTGCATGTCTGAGGTATTCTGATTTTGGTCAGACGAAACGTTATAGAAATACATTTGTGTTAGTGTGCAGCAGAACTCTTAAATTGCGTAGTATGAATAAATAAATTTGACTTCTTCGGCCCTATATACGCTCTAATATTTTATATTTGCTTAAATAAATATATCAGCTGCCAGTGAACTATTAATACAATATGCATAGTAAAGAGTACTCTAACGTTTCTAGTTCCGAATCAGAAGAGGAGGCGACAGAAGCAACGGGAAATAAGGACAAAATAACGTCTGATGTGGACACGGGGACCGGTAAAAAAGACCAAAGTAAGTGATATATATGTCCATAAAGTGTTCATAAAGTCTCAATAATTATTGAAATTGTAAAGGGAAACTTATCGATACCATATATTGTTTTGGCGCTCACAGATGTATTACATGAAGTAAACATAAATATTTAAACAATTACTGATTGAAAAATAACAAACCTGGTTAAAGTATATTGAGAACTGACTCCATAACAAAAATGAAATTGTAAAGAGACTTTATAGACACCCTGTACGCTCAATAATTATTAATTGTACAAAGAATGGTATTATAAGCGGGCTATTTCGGCTAAATCGGAATTGCAGACTTTTTTTGACTTTATTAAATCAAAACTTACTGCTAAAACTCATAAGTCCTTATTACTGAGGGTTCTTGGCAGTTCATTATTGAGGGCTTGCATACGCAGAAGTTTTTGTTATCAAATTTTTTTTCGTGTTCGGATCTGGAGTCGAGGATAGATATTTTATAACCCGGACTCCCAATCGATGGTCTTAGAGTAGGCGCTGAAGACTTTTTATGAGTTAAACGGTGTTGTGAGTGAGCCCACTAATCTTGTAAAGAACACATTTGTGGATACGACATGGGTCCGGTAACAAGGATGAAATAGAGTGTCACGATTTAATAATTGCACAATGAATAGTGTTCTAAACGACCAAAAGTCAGAATTGCAGATTTTCATTGATTGATTGCAGATTATAATGAAATATAACTTCTCATTAAAACTCAAAAAAGCATTTCGCCATGCGATACGGGTGAAAGCAAAATTTTGCGGATTCGGATTCGTAAGCAAATATTGAACAAGAACTCGCTATTTCGCCATACGACTCGGTTAGGAGTTAAAATTTCCCGGATTCGGATTCGTAAACAAATATCCAACAAGAACTCACTATTTCATCATACGATTCAGGTAGGAGTCGAAGTTTTCCGGATTCGGTTTCGCAAACAAATATTGAACAAGAACGCGCGATTTTGACATACAATTCTGACAGGAGTCAAAATTTTCCGGATCCGGATTTGTAAACGAATATCAATAACCCACATAACGATAAATCTTCTCTTTCAGATTCAACAGGCCTACGAAAAAGCGTCATGGCCAATTTAGTAAAGAATACCGCGGTTGTCAATATTGTTAATTCAGACATTTCCATGATCACTAATGCCGGTAAGTATAGTGTATTCCACTTCTAATATGTTTTTAGTACGGTATTTGGCGCTCCAGAAGTATGTGACACCGGAGCATTGCAGACACCGGAACTCCAGGTTAAAGTTAGGCCATAATTTAATTCAAATTTCGTTATTTTGATTCTATTACGAATTCGGGGGCTAGCCAAGTTACTCCCGTAGTATTTGTACCTAAAATTATGGCCTAACCTTAACCTGGTACACATACTACGTCTCGGTGTCCGCCATTTTGGTTTATATACTTCGGGAAGACCCGGTATTTGCATACCGTAAGGCGCACTGACAATAAACTGTTTAGAATTGTGGTTTTATTCATACATAAGAGGCATCAGGCTATAAGCCGCAATGGGTTATAAAGAAATGCCGATACTGATGTAAGTAATAGAATAGATTACCATGTAGTACAGGGGTTCTTAACACGCTGCCGCGGGCAGCATGCGGCCCGACGATGCATATTTTGCGGTCCGCAAAAATCTTTGATGAACCCAAACATATATCACAATATCTGCGGCGTAATTAATATAAACGATTTTTTAATATGGTATCATTCTTCTAATCTAGTACAGCGAACGATGGATCACAGAAAACAGATTAATTACGTATTGTTACGTAAAAATTGAGTTACTTAGCGCGCATATCGCATCCTCCATCTACCCTCGGAAATGCGCTTTACAAGAAAATAAAAAAATTGTAAAACATTGTTGTTGTTGAGTATATATAATTATATTTTTCCTATGTTGTCAAATTCTGTCATAGCTCTCGCTTAGGGAGAAGTTTCAACTGCAAACTTACGAATGCTATCCATTAACTATGTTTTAGACTGTATAAAATGAATATAAGGAGCATATTAAACATCAGTATCGGACTAATAAATAAATTAAATAGTATAAATACTTAACAATAGTATTCTGTGGCCCGTCGCATCTTTTGTGGTTAAAATGCGGCCCGTTTGTAGTATATGCATTATGACATTATGCGATCGATTTTTGAGAAAAGAACGTTTAAATTGCGCCTTTAAAAGCATCTAAAACACGTGCTTCGGAACTTCTTTACGTTCAAATTCCTATAGTGTTTTTGTGGTCTCTGAAGCCTTGGTAAGAGCGACACTTTAATTAATAAATTTATTATATTGGTAAAAAACTAAAAATTGAAAAAAATATTTTTCAGGTGTCCATTATGACAATAACACCAATGATTTGAGATGTAAGTATAAGTCATGGTTACTGATTTGCTCTGGATGTTTACGAGTGTAGCTTTTAAATATGATGACTTCTCTCCTTATATAAGCATTCACAAAAAATGATTTTGAATGTATTGTGACGTATTATTTTGTATTAGGACGTCACTTCGAATCTTTTCCTTTTTTATCTACGCATATTCACATCTTTCGCTCTGAACAAGGCATATGTAAGTGGCCCGGCCTGGCATCGCCTGCCCTCTCTATTGCGCCCTAGATGAGGTGGTGGCCATGGTAATTCGAGATGCATGAGTTGCCTTGTTTGGAGGAGGGGGGATACCAGGGGGGGACAGCTATTTTCAAAATACCATTCAGATAAAAAAGCATTCCTGTACTGCAGAATGCCAACAGCCAACGGAAACTTCTCGACAACGCAAAACCGCACTGGAAATTCCCAGTGCCCCAACCAAGTGTGAGATTAGTGGGACAAACGTTGAACAAATGGAACAACTGTGGACGCCCTTTTCCAGATATCAATCATCGGTACTACCGAAGTACGTGAACCATGATGGCGGACACCGGAACGTAGTATGTGTACCAGATTAGGGGTTCAAATAATACGGTCACTTGACTAGTTCTCGAACTCGTTATAGAACTAAAATAAGGAAAATTGAAATAAAATTATGGCCTGACCCTAATCTGGTACACATACTACGTTCCGATGTCCGCCATCTTGGTTCACATACTTCGGGAGTACTCAATCATTTCGGATCTGAAATCCATGTATTATCTGCTCAACTTAAACGCTTTTTATATTTAAGGCACCTCTCTTGAATGCCGACAGCCAAAGGAACCTTCTGGTGCATTTATTGATAAGGCAAAACTTCACTGGAAACTCCCATTGTCCGGAAAAAGCAACATAAAGCATTTCCAAGCTACCGTAAGGAATAATGAAGGAACAGTATGGATCTCGAAAGATATATCCAAAGACAGAACCTCTGTTGAAATAGCCGGGAAGACATTGCGTTGTGGTCGACGTTACCAAGCTTCGATTGAGACACACTTTAAAAGCAATGATGGCACTGGTTCACATGCCTCAGAAGTGACGTTTTACACAAGTAAGACTTTGTTTATGTTAAGATGGGCCGCGGGCCACAACCCGGGCCGACAGGTCATTTAGTGTGGCCCTTGTCAACATACAGAGCATAAACTCCACCAAGCATAAAATCCTAATCCGACTGTTAAAAAAGGCGCCTACGTGGATAAAAATACATGTTTTTTTACTCTTGTCGCTGCTTTAAATCTTTCGTGGTTTTGCCCGGTGCATTTATTATTGTAAGGCTAAGCGATAGTCGCATTCTCCTCTCTTGCCTTCCCCGCAAATTTATTTTTGTGCGTCCCAGCTAAAAGTCTGAAGTTGGTTATATGACCCTTCGACGAAACCCCTGTGTTACGTTCACGTTTCTCAACCGGAGAAAAATTCGTTCACAAGATAGAACTTCGTCGTTCTTGGGGAAAAATTTGCTTTTATTTCCTGCAGTGTTACTAATATTCCTAATTATTTCACATGATCAATATGACCCACAACAAAATAATCATTTTTAAAAGTCATTTATTTTACCAGAAATTAATATAAAGTGAGATACCTGTGCCTATTTGCCATCAGCGAGTTTTTATGTTGCGGCGTGGCTTTGCTTAGGAAAAGTAGATCTGCCAAATTTTACGCTGTGATACTCGCAGTTGCTATTAAGAAACACTTCAACGCCAAATACAAAAATAAACAATTGAGTTTACATTAAATTAAGTCAATTTTTACTTTTCAAGTTTTTTTAAATTTTTGTTCAAGAAAAAAACGCGACCCGAAAGAATTTTTAGGCGACCCAACTTTGCGACACTAGGTTGGGAAACACTGAACGTAATCTTTATTCACATCACACTAATACCTTCCTATTTTATCAGGACCTTCCAAGCCTAAGGACATCCAAATTAAATCTGACGACGATTTTGTTTACCTGAATTGGCGACCATGTGAAGGCGCTGAGAAATACGAAATTAAGGTCTTAGACAAAAACACGGAGGAAACTTTGCACCCGGAAACAACTGCAGGCAACGAACACGAATGCAAGATCAAAATTGACCAATCAACATCGATTTTCCTCGGAAATGATTACAAGTTTCAAGTAAGTTCGTGTGAAATTCGATTGAGAATTTCATTTGACGCTAAGTGCACATACAGATCGTTTTGCTTTAAAAATGTCGCCGCATTCAATGGCTAATCAAGCAGGGTTTCCCAACCGTTCGGATTTGGATTTTTTTACAAATTTCATTTTTTGGAGAATTCGGTTTGCTTGGAAAAAAGTTCGAGAGCCACTGTCCTAAACTTGGAGTTGGTCAAATTTCGAAAAATATACAAGTCTGATTTTTTTAGGTCATCTCGAAGATAGGAGACTGGGAGAACAAATCTGACATTGTTTCAAAATTCATAGGTAATATGATCTTTTTATATATGAGATGTTTCTAATCATTTCTCTGGTAAAGTTTGACGGTATAGACTAGCAGTTCTCAAATCGTGACCCGCGGGCCAATTAGGGCCCGCGTAACTATTTAACATGGCCCGCCGAACTTATGTGAAATAGTTAAAAGCTTTTTTTCTTTTTTCGTTCTCGATACCGCCAATTGTTACGTCATTATCACAGTTTAAAAACGTGTATATTCGTAACAATTATATTATACCGGTAGCTTAATTATACGTACCGATACCGGTATCGGCCCCTTGTGGCCGCTCTCTTCTCCTGGCCCGCGAATATCCTTTTGCTTCCATTTATGGCCCCCGATCAATTTTGTGAACGACTGGAATAGATATTCGAAACATTGGCTGAGCTGTATATATCGTAATAAAACTACATTACTATAAATAATCCTGCTAGCACTCGTTATCAATGTATAATGTTTTTAAACAGGGGACGAAAATTGCCCTCAACGTGTTAAAGCCGAAAAGCGCACAGGCGTGATCGCAATACGATGGTACCCACCGGAAAACACAAACGGCTTCAAGGAATACAGAGTGGACGCAATGACTTCCACTCACATACCAAAATCGTATTTCACCAAGAGTACCTACTTCGAAATTCCACAGAAGGAACTCCAGGCTGGCACAACCCACACATTTCAAGTGGCAGCAAGAACTGAAAAGACAACGAGCAAGTTCTGTGCTGCGCCTCCGATAAAGACTGATCCACGTAAGTCTATTATATATATTCACTATGGAGTGACCGTTTAGATTTTAGAACGTACGGACTGAGAACATATACGTATTGTGTTTGTCGGTGATTACACTCCAAATCTATTCTTAGACCTGTGATTCCCGAAGTATTTCGATATATTTCTCGTTTTGCCATTTTAGATTGACCGTCCGTGTATGCTGGTGAGGACTGGCGGCCTTTATTACGTTATTTCCTCTGGAACCATTACTCTAAGCCAGGGGTTGGCAACCTTTTGTCGCTTGCGGGCCAAAATTAAAGGTTGCAAGACATTGGCGGGCCGCACCTATTTTTAGAAAATTAAAAACCGAACGGATGGCCGATGAGTCACATTTTTCCACAAAAATCAGAAGTTGAATTCCAAGCAACTTACCATTTGGATATTTTCGCCATTGAACCATTTACACTTAGCATCAACTTTTCTGCGTTTAGTTGCCATTTGGTAAATATGATCAAATTAAAGGCTCAATAAACGGGTAATTGTGAAGTATATAGTTGTTAGGTTATAATATAATTTAGTCTCAAAATAAATTCTCTTACGTAAAGAATACATTCGTCAAAACAGCTGTTTTGTTACTATAATTCGGTGAAGCGTCGCGGGCCGGATTATATTGCTCCGCGAGTCGGATTGTAGCTTGAAACGCACTTTGAACCCTCAACACTTTTGAAAATCCGAACCCACTGAGTTAGCTGTTACGATCCAACTAAGCAATTAAAAATTTTCGAATCCCCTTCCAACCCTTGAAATTTCAAGGCCCAGAGTATCATCAAAACCAATTTACTTACATGAACTATGCTGTTGAACAGCTATTTGTGCAATAACTTACAGCTACCCTATAGCAGAGCCTTGAAGCGGGAGCACGCAAATAAAAAATAAGGAAACTACATAAGATAAACTAACTCACTCGTAGTCTGTTTCATTCCATCTTTCCGGAGAATAGAATGCGACATTGCACAAATATATTTTCAGGTGTCATCAAAGTTGAAGGTCTTCGTGTAGACTTAAATCCAGAAAATCCAGATACAGCTGTAAACAGTTTTTGGAATCCTACAGACGGTGCAGTAACTTACAAAATAAAGTACAAGAGCATCGATCGCTCAGTGACGACGGAAATTTCCAAGACTGTGACGTCACACACGCTCACTGATCTTCAGCCAAACACGAAATACGAAGTCCTAGTAAAAGCAGCAGAAAAACTAGGATATGGGTCTTATTCCGCTCAAGAAACGATTAAAACTGGTAAGTAAAAGTGGTCTATTTTGTTATCCTAAACTTGTGACTCAGGCATCAGGCTGAAAATACAACTCTAGCCCGGGCCTACCCTGAGCATTGATTTCCTTCTTTACTTCCGTAATATTAGCTAATCAGCGAGATGCAAAATATTACGTAATAATTGGAATTTCAGCAACCGCCCAGACATTTTATGACCTAAATATACTTTAGGCATGGTTGGAAACTTTACTTCATAAACGTGAAATTGCATGTTATTTGTCACTCTTTGGTCGTATTTCCGAAATTCAGGAATCAAACAATTCAGTCTTTCTACAAGTTTTAGTTTAATTGCAGTAATCAAAAATTAATGCAGAAATCAAAAACTTCTACTAGGGCCAAAGGTTGACAAAGCATCAATTGTAACTAGAATCTTAATGAACATTTGCTTCAATTTTTGATTTACGAGTTATATCCACTTTCCAGATTTCAGCGTTGCCAGAGATGCCGCAGTGAAGCTGATAGAAGCGGTACCCGACTCCGTTTCGTTATCATTCACACCTGCTCTTGGTGCAACTGCTCACATCATTGAAATATTTCGGGTTGGCGAGGAGGAAACGCGTAAAATAGAAACAGAGAAGGACTTCTTGATTATCGATAAATTGGAACTGGCAACGGAATACGGGGTGAGAGAAATTAAACGATTTTTCAAAGTTTTCGGTTTTCAGATCGTCCACACGAAGAGCAGCCTACATATTATACTCTAGTACAGTAGTTCCCAATCTCGCGCCCGGGGGCAACAGAGCAGTTGGGAGAAGGGGTACGGGGGCACCATGCCTCGACCCGTTCTTCCTGGATTCATTGTTTGACGAGGTTGACAAGGTTATTTCACAGGATGTTTTCACTATATTGAGCATGAATTGTTTGAGCATAATGGGATTTGGAATCTACCAATCAAAACAACAATTTAAATATCACTGGAATGATAAACAAGGACCTTAAGTGCTAACAACTTGGGTCTGTGTAAGTGGGCATAAAAGGTTGGGAACCACTGTTCTGCTAAATGACTATTAGAACGAGCAATACCAGGAATAAAGAGAGAAATCAAGCTATGGATTTTTGTACAAAGCCACCTCTCAAAATAAAAAATTAGTGGGGCTCCCGAAGTATGCGAACCAAGATGGCGGACATCGGAATGTAATATGTGTACTAGGTTAAGGTTAGGCCATAATTTTAGGTATGAATACCACGGGAGGCTCTTGGATAGTCTTCGAACTGATAATAGGACTAAAATAAGGAAAATTGGAAAAAAATTATCGCCTAACCCTAACCTGTTACCCATGTTACGTTCCGATGTCCGCCATCTTGGTTCGCATACTTCGTGAGCCCCAAATTAGTAAATATCCAGTTAGGGTTATGAATAGGCTTACCATACGTCCCGCTTTTCAGCGTTTTGTCCCGCCGTCCCGATAAGTCAGCCAAAAGTCCCGCTTTTCCAGCATAATACACAAACATGTCCTCGTTACTGTTGTTTCTGTGTAGCGCAGCGCTAGCCTACTTACTGAAGGTGAATGCGTTCGTTTCCCGCTGATTCCCATTGATGGCAGACGTATCGCATGTAAAACCAATACTAATTAGTCTAAATTCGAATTATTTGTACCGGTATCGTTAACGTCAATTCCTTCCTATTTTTCGAACTGAACCCGATATTTGGACAGAGAATATGCGCATGAAATTTCGTAACAATATGGTCAATAAATACAGCCGGGACAGCTTTAAAAGTAGGAATGTAGGCCTATGTAGTAAAATCGGAAAATGTGAAGTTACAGAATCGTTGTCTTTTGAGGCGTCCCGATCTGAAGTCACAAAAATATGGCAACCCTAGTTATGAAGGCTCGGAATGCAGATTGCGCTGAAAATTCAAAATTTTGAAATCGTTCCTAACTATAACCCTGACATGGGCGATCTACGACCCGCGGGCCAAATCCGACCCGTTAAGTAATTCAATTTGGCCCGCCTGATGCTGCCATAAACAAAACTGAAACTAAATTTTGATGTTTTAGCTAAAAATAGCTCAAAGAATTCGTTGAGATTGCGATTATATTTAGTTCTAGCACGAGGCTCATTGTTTTCCACTTTTGCTTTTGTAACGCTGTAAATATTGTTCGTAAAATGTAACGTTTTACGTCACACTTAATGGCCCAGTCAGTCTAGGTGGGCAAAATTTTTGGCCCTTTGTCCCAAAACCTTGCCTATCCCTGCTCTAACCCCAACTGGGTGATAACTAATTACTTATCGATTTTAATCGGTAAGTATGTTGATAGGTATTTGTCTGTATGTCTGTATGTTTGTTAGATGCACGCGATATCTCACGAAAGCAAGATTGAATCTGCTCCAGATTTTGCATGTGCATTCATCTTATCTCGGACCAGAATCCTATTGACTTTGGGCGAATTATGTCGTATAATTAGCGAGTTATCAATCAATTATTGATATAGTGATCTAGATTTTTGTAAAGCGAGAGAATTTTGAGACCCGCCGAGTGTGTGTGTGCGATGCGCAGTGCGCAAGTTACAGGAGCGGATGAATCGAAATTGCAGTTTCTGTTTTGGGGGATCCCCTAACTATCGATCGATAAATCTTCAGTTTCCAACCGATATTCTCGTTTGTTATTTCAATCGTGGCGGGTGTGTTTTACTTTATTCTTAAATCTCACATTTTTGCATTAGTTGCGTGGTCTTTACACAATATGTATGGTAGGTAGTGAGTCTTGCTTATCCCCGACTAGGGCTGGGCATTTTCGAATACCTGATGATTTCAGAATCGAATCGAATAATTTTTTCGAATCGAATCTCGAATACTTGGAAGGTATGAAATTGTATGTAACTTTCTTATTATTTTAGGTCCTCCAGACACATAAATTACTGAAAACATAAAATACATCACTGACAATAAGAAAACACGTTTTCATCAATACCTCAATACAGAAAAGAGTCATATGTCAGGATTGTGTTAAAAAAATATGGCTTCAATAAGAAAAAAATTGAAAATTTTACCTCGACCATTGGTGGAAAGAGTAAAACAAGATAGCGGCGATTCGAAAATTTGCTCTAAACCGATTCGAATAATTTACTATTCGATCCGAATATTCGATTCGAAATGCCCAGCCCTAGTCCCGACTCATACTTCACATTTAAAATTAATTTGTTTTTTATACCCAGATAACCATCACATCTAAATATGGAACGGAGACAGGAAAACCCATCAAAGACCCCATCAGCGTACTGACAGGTAAATAGCGGGAAATCGCTAGATGCTTTTAAGTGTCGGTAAACCGTTAACCAACGTAGCTAACGATTATGAATATATTTATAATCTCCACAGGGCTGATAGTACTGCATCCGTTAATTTTTTTAGTTCCAGCAAAACCGGATTACAGCGGCATTCACTACGTTTTGGACGTCGGTAAACCGTTATCCATCTTTCGTGGTTAACGGTTATTATTTTTTATAGATTTTTTAATGAAAAATATAACATAAGCATTTTATTTTTTAGTTCCGGGAAAACCGAATTACCGTGATATTCATTATGTTTTGGACAACGGTAAACCGGAAAGCAAATTTTTGCTGGCCTGGAAATCACAGAACCATTGCGAAAAGCATGAAGTATTGATCAAATGCATATGCGAGAGTGGAAGCCGTGGAGAGCAAGTTTTGAGTTCAGAAGGAGATAAAGCAAGTTTGTTTTGCCAGGCCTTGCATAAAGGTTGCGAGTGCGCTGTCTATATTCGTGAAAGAAATAAAAGTGCATTCGGAGAATGGTCTGAAGAGAAGATTGTTAGAACAGGTAGAAAGATGTGAATGGTCTAACACAGTGGTTCTCAAACTTTTTAGCCGCGCCCCTTTTTAGAATTTGTCAAGTCTCGTGCCCCACCTCAAAAATACCTAGCTAACAATAAGTTCCAAATAATAGATAGTAAGTATGTTTCAGTCAAGAAACGCTTTAAAAATACGTGGATGAAACGTAAATAATGAAATAAAGAGGTAAAAACAAGCAAAATTTGTCACAACAGATCTCTGCAATCTCCAGGCTTGTCCATGAGAATTGGACAGCACATATTTGTATAACCCATGGGGCACGAAAGGCGTATGATGGTGAAACATTTCGTTATGAACTTCGTGTCCATAATTTGAGCATATCCCTCTTGTTAGTTATAAAGAGCAAAATATATTCAGCATTAACAATATACTTCGTGAAGGGGCTGATGGACACATGTATAATAGTTATGGTGCTCCCGAAGTATGCGAACCAAGATGGCGGACATCGAAACGTAACAGGTTAGGGTTAGGCGATAATTTTTTTTCCAATTTTCCTTATTTTAGTCCTATTATCAGTTCGAAGACTAGCCAAGAGCCTCCCGTAGTATTTATAGCTAAAATGATGGCCTAACCCTAACCTAGTACACATATTACATTCCGATGTCCGCCATCTTGGTTCGCATACTTCGGGAGCCCCTTTTAATTATTATAATCGACTTATCGAAATCGGTAAATTTTTCATTTTCTGTGATTTCGTTCATCATGGAATTGTATTCTCTTGTTAAATTATAAATTGTTATGAATTTCAGCCCCGGATAAGGCAAGAAAACTGCAGTTGGACCTGGAAGACAACATATTGCGAGCTAAATGGGAAAGAAGTGAAAACGCGAGCAAATACCAAGTCACGCTATTCGAAGAAGGCGAAAAAGCGACAGGAGTTACATGCGAATCTATTGGAACAACATTCACAAATTATGTCACGCAACCTGGTGCGTTTTATACCTGTACCGTCATTCCATTCAACATTGATGGAATTTCAGGAAAGGAGACAACTTCGGAAAAGTGTTTCATACGTGAGTATGATATTCGGATGTTTTGTAGAAAGCCCCGCCTAAAAACATCCCCGAGACCGCTCAAAAAAATGTAATTATCCGGTAGGCCGCAGGGGTCGGCAACTTTTTGTCGCTCGCGGGCCAAAATTAATGGTTGCAAGTCATCGGCGAGCCGCACATAATTTTGGAAAGTTAAAAATCGAATGGATGACCGATAAATCACATTTTATCACACAGGTCAGATGTTAAATTTTAAGCAGCGCGCGAAGAATGACCAATTGAATATTTTTTGCGCCATTAAACCATTTGCACTTAGCATCAACTTTTCTGCGTTTTGTTGCCATTTGTCTAAATTATAATTAAATTATAGGCTCATTAAACAAATAATTGTGAATTATATACTTGTTACGTTATAATACAATTTAGTCTACACGTAAATTCTTTTGCGTAAAGATTATAATCGACAAAACAGCTACAATTTGTTACAATAATTCAGTGAAGCGTCGCGGGCCGGATTATACTGCTCCGTAGGTCGTAGGTTGCCGACCTCCGGGTTAGGGTGATGAGTAGAAATGCAAATTGCACTGGAAATTCATATTTTCAAAACATTCCCAGCCCTAACTAGATAATTACTAAATTGGGTGTTTTTCTCAAATCTGAAATTTTTGCATTAGTGGGGGGATTTCTACAAAATATTTCTGTGAGATTTCAAGGCAAAAGATATAATTTAATCCAGGGCTTTCGCTTTCCAAACATATGGTCTAATTTTAGGGGTTATAAAAGGTAAGCAAATTACACACAAAGTACTATATCTATTGTATTTTTAATTTGATAAATATTTATTAAAACTAAATGGCAAAACATAAATTTCAGGATTTCGAGAATCAGACAACCTGCGTACAGGTTGTGCGCCATCTTGGTGCGCATACTTCAGGAGGTCCCTAAAGCCTATTTAGCAGCAATTGGTTACTATACCAGGCTTATTTACAGTAAAACATGCGTACTGGTGCGAAGCAAAAGATGATTCTATCAGAGTTTCTTCTATCAAACCCCTTTTTTGAATATTCCTGACTACGCCCCCGACCCTCGTCGCATTTTTATTTTGAAGTATATTTATTTCCTTAAATTTGTTTACTGTATATATATTGTTCCATTAGAGAGAGAGAATTTATTATTTCGTCAACCAGAAAACACATAATATAAAATATAATAATAACAAAATAAGTAAAACAAAAGTTTTCGTTATGACTGAGAGGTAACGGTACGACCAGTTACGGTCATCTGAGTCAGTTACCACCAAACCCCTCCCAATCCTCTCCGAACCAACATTGTAAAAAAATGAGTTTGCAAAACTTTTTTACAGCTCTCCTTCCACCTTCCAACGTGGAATACCAGTTTAGTGACACGGAGCACGATCGCGTTTCGATTTCATATGAAAAGTCACATGGAATGACGTCAGCCCTGGTAGTTATGTCACATCCGGAAGAAAAAGATATCACGTTTACTGGGAAAGACTCTTGCCTTTCTCCGCCTCTTAGTGACGGAAGAACGTACAGTTTTAAAATCTGGGCGATGAATGGGAATCTTCGAAGTCCGAAGCATTACGTTGGGACCATAGTTACACGTAAGTAAATTCTATCACAGTTGTTTCCAACCTTTTATGGCTCGCGGCCCCTCTCCGGAGGCTTTTAGCACCCATGGCCCCTTTGTTTATATTTCCAGTAGCATTTATAGTGTTATTTTGATTGGTAGATTCCAAATCGCATTATGTTCAAACAATTCATGAACAAAAAAATTGAAAACATATTGTGAAATAAGTGACAACCTTATCAGGCAATGAAACTAGAATAACGGGGAGTTTTTTTTAGGTGATAAGTAAAGTCAGTTTTGGGCTCCCGGCATTGAGCACTCCGTTGCCCCCTTGGTTTGGGGGGGGGGGTAAAAAGCCGACAGCACCGCCTAATCACTTGCTAGAATTCACTCTACCGTCCAACCAATCTTAGAAATGTTATATTCTTTTTGTAAATTACTGATATTACCCTCGCAGGTCCGAAAGACGTTACTATCTCACGCCCTCTGGTTGACCCGACAACAAATTTGGAATTGGAGATACATTCTGATCACAGGGGAGCTTTTATTTTGAAAATCAAAGGAAAGGATGTCGAAGAATATGAAGAGATTGTTCAGGAAAGAAAAACAATTTTGAAAAATCTAATTCCCGCGACTCCCTACGTTATTCGCGTGTCTTGTGTCTCAAAAGACGTGAAAACGCCAGAAAAGTCGAGCCCATCTGTGGTCACACGTAAGATTTTATATACCACATGTTTTTGACGCATTTCCAGCCTAACAAAATAATTCGTTCTTTCAAACATAGAATCTTTTTGTGTATCAGAAACCGCTTGTCTGGCAGGAGCATAGTCTGTTGGCGTTGGTGATCGGAACCCCCCCCCCCCCCCCCCCCTTCGAAATGTCAAAATCATACAATCCGGTTTTTCGTAGCCCGGAACGTTTTTTAGACCAGCAAGATTCTCAAAAATCCACGGTTTCAACCAGCTGTTAAGACCGCTAGCTGTTACGGTCTATTCTAGGCAATTAGAAATTTTAGAACCAACTCCCACAACAGTTGAAAAATCAAATTCTGCTCACGCCCATGTTGTCTGGTGCTTTATTTTCATCGAATATGATATGAAGCACCTCATAATAACTATTCTAATTCGGACAACTATATTTTGGGTTTTTATTTTAAATCCCACTCTTTTACAGTACCAGGAAAAGTTACCGGCGTAAAATGCGAACCAGATGAAAAATCTCAGAACAAGATTCTCACATGGGACAAATGCAATGACGACACAGTGCATTACACAATCAAGTTATGGAAAAACAATCAACCACTAGAGTCCGTAACCACAATGAAATCGGTGTATGAGTTTATTGACTTGCAACCTGGGAGCTTCACTTTCCGTGTTTCAGCTGGAGGAGGAGAGGATTCAGACCCTTGTCACTTAGTAGGTAAGAACGCCTGGGTAGTTATTTGTGAAAAAGCTATTTTTTTGAAAAGATTGTCGTATTCAACGGACCACAAGACGCACTGGGCTATGGAACGCAAGGGTTTTAAGGAGTATCGAAAACCCTACAAAGCTCTATAAAAAATAATATCAATTTTGACATAAGACAATTTAATACATTGCGAGTGTTTCTTATTGTGTGTGAACACTCAGCGAACTGTCTGAGTGATGGATTTCAAGTACCACGTGTACATATGGACCGTTTTCCTATTATTTTGTTTTTGGACACGTCAGTGGACATAACGATTGTTTCAATATTATGTTGTTGTTGTTCTTGTTCTTTGACGCGTTTATGATAAGTCACTTTTTTCTTTGATTAGTGGAACAATCGCTTTGAAATTTCAGTGATTAAAGATGGAATTTTTTTCTAGAAAGCTATTACTTTTATTAATTTCAACCATTCCTGTGAGCTTTATGGGATTCGTTTTTATTTTGAGCTATGACGTCAACAGAATTTGCCACCATGTGGCGATTCCGCAAACACATATTGATCACGTGATCAGCAAACAGGTCCCCTGGTCAAGCCTGCTGGTAAGTTACCGCACCGTACCACAGTGAATTTCAGAGTAACGTGTCCATATATTTGAGCATAGCTCTCTTGTTTTTTAATTAACAAAACTTTTGATTGCATCGACAAGCGCTAATTCGATCAACCACACGTCTTCGTTTCAGTCACGGAATCTCCCGAAGTCAGAGTCCAGATCATCGAATGGAACGCTGTTCTTATTTCCTGGTCACGAATCGAAAAGGCCACGTCATATTTGTGTGTTCTCTCATCCGGAACCAGAAATGAAGAGTTCGAAATTAAAAACTATACCGAAGTCTGGTTGGATGAGAACTCATTTGAATTCAAACAAAGTGAGAAATATACAGCCACAATCTGGGCGATTTGGAATGAGCACTATAGCGCTCCCTCGCGGTTTGATTTTATTACAGGTAATTCAGGAATTCGCTAATAATTTCAGTTCACAAGCTTAAATGTCGAGGCTGCTAGTCCTCAGCCTGACTTGCCTAATAGTAAACCCGACACTGCATATGCATAATGCGGACATTGAATGCTGACGATGATCCGATTTGTGATTGAGCCGACTGACCAGTTTTTGATATCCGGGGATATTCATCGACAATAGCAGTAGTTCAGCAAACAAAATTCCCGTTTTTTAATTAGATTTCAGAAATTTGGGTGTCGCTGCTCGATAACTGGCTTTAAAAGTTCCGGCGGCTATGTGTTTTTGTTCTCTTTTAATAATCTATATGATTGTTTTTTACCGGTTGTAAAAAATAAACATGACTTATCTATTCAATTCAGGTCTAGATGTCCCAACTGAAATTAAATCGGAATGGGAATGGGCGGACCCAGATCGGAGAACAAAACCAACTGGAGCCGTGAAATTTAAATGGAAGCCGTCGCCCTATTCGCGTATGTTCGCCGTCAATGTGACCGATTTTGAAGGAAAAGTTGTGGATTCCACTGAAGTGGCAAGACCTGCTTGGAAGTGCTTGAATTTGAGACCGGGAAAGGAACATCGAATCCATATAAGGCCGGGGAATGTTCATAAGTTTTTTGAGAACTCTACAAGTGCTACTTTTATAACAGGTATGGTATTTTCTTTTTGCCTTCCTATTTATTTCTGTTTCTCGCAATTTGAAATATTGTAAATTTTCCCTAAAGTAAAATACCGAATACATTTAATTCCGAATCGATTTAAATATTAATTCCTAAAATCATATTTCTAGCTAATATTTTTTTTTGCTTCAACTTTGGCTCCAACAGGTTCCGCAACCATTATCCCAAACTTCCGTGGCCAACACATTGAAGCTTTCGTATTCAGCGTGAGGCATGCTAATTAATCTTTGATATATCTCAATTTTGAGAGAGATCTAAATCTATTCTGAATTATTCATAAAATCAAAACTTTATTATTTCAAAGACTCTCAAGTTAAGCTGGCTGAAAGTCGCGTCGAGAGTCATTCCGTTTAGATCAGCTGGAGCCTCAGCAACATTTTCAGTTAGGACACTAACCTTTTAAAAATTTAATTGAGTTACTGATAAATTAGTTAAGTTTGATTGTGGTGGCAATGAATGATGATGCTGTTTTTACTAATTTTTATTCAACTTATTGAAGGAAAAGCATATATTTTTGCGGGCGTAGTATTTTGCTTTTCTCATAGTTTTTTTCTTGCATGAAAAAGTTAATGGGCCACAGAATTTTTGTGCCACGGAAGTGGGCCGCGAATGAAAAAGGGTTGAGAACCACTTGATAAATCGAGCCTTAGGGAAAGGGGAATCGATTCCCCCAACACAAACCCACCGACTTATCCTTCTTATTTTTGCAGCCCCGCCGGCCCCAGCTAAAGTGGAAACAAGAGTAAATATTCATAACAAAACATCGTCCATGAACGTTATAATAACATCAGATTATGACGGACCCTTCATTACAAAAGCCTATAAAGACAAGAAAGGGAAACGAGGCGATGTACAATCCGTACATGTTGGTTGCAGCAAGACGTTTACGATTCCAAACTTAGAACCTGGGCAAAGATATTACTTCTCCTCACAGTCTATCTATGGAACGTATGAGACAAAGCCGACTTTTCGCGCTTCCTCGTGATAACAAGTGAGCGATGCGCAAATATATGGACACGTCGATGAAAAAAAGCAGTATTCTACCTTGCCTTATACAGCATTTTACCTAGTCTATTGTACGATGCAGTCAAAAAGCTTTCGAGTAACACGAGAGAGGTCGCAGAACCGCTGCAAATAATTTATATTAATTTTTAGAAAGAAATCGCAAAATTTTGAAGTGAAAAACCTACAGAAAGTTTTGAAATGAATAGAAGTTGCCTAGTTGGAAATGGGAAATATAATCTTCAACCATTGAAAATTTCAAAGCAATTAGTCTAGTATTCGAAGAGAAAAGCGATTTATTCATAAAAGAACAAGAAAATGGAAAACAACAACATAATAACAAAACAAGAGAGCTACGCCCAAATACATGGACACGTCTGTTCGCAGTACAGTACGGTTTACCGTACCGTCAGATCACAGTCTACAAATATATTCACACCAAGCGTAGCAGTACAGTAGGACACAAAATGACGTCCGATGTCCGCAGAACGTTCGGTGACGTCATAGCAAACAAAAACAAATCTCACAAAGCTAACAGATATATTTGAAATAAATAAAAGTAATAGCCTTCTGGAGAAAAATTTCATCTTTAACCACTAAAAATTTCAAAGCAATTGGTCCAGTGATCAAAGAGAAAAGCGTTTTTTTAATATTTCCACTAGGTGTCCAAAAAGTGTCAAAGAACAACAAAACGATCGTTATGTCCACTAAACGTGTCCAACAATCCTCATGTATATTTCGTGCCCGATTAACAAAATGGTAATTCCAGCTATTCCTAAAGGAGAGATCATAGAATATTCATCGCAGGAGAGAGGGAAGCCACCATTGCTCAAATAACAAGAGAGCTATGCTCAAATATATGGACATGTAGAGTCACATAAATTTGATGACGTCATAGCGAAAAAAAAAGTAATAGCCTTCTGGAGAAAATTTTTATATTTAACCACTAAAAATTTCAAAGCAATTGGTCCAGTATTCGAAGAGAAAAGCGACTTTTTAAAAACGTGTCAAGCGGTACTGAGTTAGCAGTCAGGCAGCATCTTACCTGTACACTGTAGGCCATATACGGTAATTGATCACAGAACAGTTGTTCCCTTGCAAATTTTATGTTGTTTACACTTTAGGACAGATAATTGATCACAGAACAATTCTTCCCTTTCAAATTTTATGTTGTTTCCAGTAGACTCTCATCAAAATAAACAAATATAGTAGGCCACAACGCTTGCATTACTGCACTGGTAGGACCGTGAAAGAATAAGTTACGGTAATTTCATTGTGGTAAGACACCGGTACCGTCACCAGTACCAGTATCGTACTTACGTACTGAGCTACCAGTACCGGTTAGCAGTCAGCCAGCATCTTACCTGTACACTGTAGGCCATATACGGTAATTGATCACAGAACAGTTGTTCCCTTGCAAATTTTATGTTGTTTACATATTAGGACAGATAATTGATCACAGAACAATTCTTCCCTTTCAAATTTTATGTTGTTTACATATTAGGACAGATAATTGATCACAGAACAATTCTTCCCTTTCAAATTTTATGTTGTTTCCAGTAGACTCTCATCAAAATAAACAAATATAGTAGGCTACAAGTGCTACAACGCTTGCATTACTGCACTGGTAGGACCGTGAAAGAATAAGTTACGGTAATTTATTTGTGGTAAGACACCGGTACCGGTACCGGCACCAGTATCGTACTTACGTACTGAGCTACCAGTACCGGTACCGAACCTGTAGGTCTGATATTCCGTTCCGCATACGATAGGCTATAAAACTTGCATTGCAGCATTAGTAATACCGCGGAAGGAATAAGTCAATTTCACTGCGTTACGGCATCGGTATGGCAACTTACCAGTACCGACCTACAGTAGCTGAAGTACTGAGCAAGACAATCGATCGCGAAACCGCTTGAAATAAGTGTAAAACAGTGTTCCCATGAGTAAAAATAAATACCGCGAAATTTTGTATGAAATATCATATCTCATAGGATTCATATAAAATTTAAGAATAAACAAAAGTAATAGCCTTCTAGCGAAAAAATTAATCTTTAACCACTGAAAATTTCAAAGCAATTGGTCCAGTATTCGAAGAGAAAAGCGACTTTTTAAAAACGTGTCAAAGAACAAGAACAACAACAACAACAACAACATAATATTGAAACGATCGTTATGTCCACTACGTGTCCAAAAAACCTCTGGTATGGAGATGGGCAACGAAATTTACCACCGATTACATAGGCCGGTGAATAGATGTTTCTCCGAGCGTTGATTTTGTTGTTTATTGCCGTAACAATCACCAATCAGCAAAAAAGTAAACAATGACATAACAATTGCAATATGTGCGGCCACTCAGACACTTCTTTCGCTCAGACAGATATACGAGTATAGTTGAAACATTGCCTCGTTTTCGTGAATTTGCGTCTTATTTGTCAATTTTCAGTTTTGTTTCTAAAACAAAGTTGTGAATCAAATAACTTGTTTTTCATTATGTCTTTTGAGGACCTTCAGTTTGGTTGCAATAAAAAAAAATCGAAACCGCAAACGCTGCGACTCGCTTAAAATTAGCCATCAGTGCCTGTAAGTGGCACGTGCTTTAATGTGGCGCCAGATGTGATCTTGGAGAGTCAACATTAGGCGTGATGATTGGCAACGAATTAACGACGCAGCAGTTACATATAACTGATGGAAGGGTCCAGTTGTCCACGGGAAATTTTTTGGGAACCGTGCAAAAGTAGGACGGGCATTTTGAATCGTGTAGATTGTAGAATAATACCTTACTCGAATCGATTCGAAGGAAAATTTGAAATCGCTGCCGTCTTGTTTTTCTGTACGTCAAGGATTTAGAAGAATCATGCAATTTTTTTAGCCATATCTCGTCGGGATGTTTCGATCGCTGTTTTTTATTCAATACTCTCACAGCTCTCAAAGGTCAGTCCGATACATGACCAGCCATGTATCTCTTGTACAGCATTTTCAAAATGTTCTCAGCAACTTATGTGTCACATAAATATAAAAATGTCTCATACAATTACGTCGTTGTATTAATTTAATTTGTAATAATTTAATTTTGATATTTTGGTAATTAAAATTCGAGCTGGTCTCGGAATTTTATATGTCTAAAAAAGTGGCGCTAGAATCAAAATTTGCTTACCTGTTTAAAAACGGAGTCATTAAGGAACATAACTTTCATAAGAAAATAAAAATTACAAGCTAGAAGCTGACTCTAATGATAATATGGTCGTTTCGCTTTCGCCAGTATGTACCGAATAACTTATGAACCGTATTTTTAATAATAATACACTGCGGTTGACGAAACAATAAAGCTATCTCTCTCCCACACACACCAATGTCTTTACTAGCTTGAAGTTGGAGTCGGAGTCATTGATATTCCGGATTTATTTTATAATCTGGAATGAGATGATGATTTTTTTCGTTTTCTGGTAACTACACTTGTTGCTGAATACACTCATCGAATTATCTATGGCAGTAAGAAAACTACGCCGGTTGGTGGCGGTGTGGTATTGCTGAATTGAACAATATTTATTCTTAATATAAGGGAGGTTGCGTCGCTGATTTCTGCATTTCATTACTGATTGGCCATAACGATCGTTTCAACATTTTGTTGTTGTTATTTTCTTTCGTCATTATTATCATTAAAAAATCGCTTTTCTTTTCGAATACTGGACCAATTGCTTTGGAATTTTCAGTGGTTCAAGATTGATTTTTTTGCCAGAAGGCTATTACTTTCATTTATTCCTGAATTTTTTATGAATCTTATAAGATCTACTATTTCATCCAAAATTGCGCTGTATTAATTTTTAATTATGGGAACACGGTTTCTAATCCGCCAAGCGTGACGGCTGACTGTGAAAATTTTTGCGACTGGAAACCCATAACTGTTTGAGGGTACGCTACCGGTAACGTCAAAGGTAAACCCTGCTTCGCTCTAGTCCACGTGTCCATATATTTGAGCGTTGCTCTCTTGTATTCAACAATTTACGTTTATATTTTGCCAAATAAATATTTAAAAATCCTATTCTGTTTTTTGCTATGTTATGAATGTAGACGCGCGATTAATGCTTTAATTGTGTTGGCGTCCCGAGTTGAATATTTTCATTTCGAGACTCTTTCCTGATATCTTGACCATGTGGTAATGAACGTACAGGCTGCCGATATATAGTTGATGTTTGCTTGACCTGACCTACTGTACAACTGTAATCCGTCTAGCTGTGCCACTGAGAGAGGCAAATGTCTAGAAAATAATATTTACACTCGTTCTAGGGGGCTCCCGAAGTATGCGAACCAAGATGGCGGACATCGGAATGTAATATGTGTACTAGGTTAGGGTTAGGCCATAATTTTAGGTATAAATACTACGGGAGGCTCTTGGCTAGTCTTCGAACTGATAATAGGACTAAAATAAGGAAAATTGGAAAGAAATTATCGCCTAACCCTAACCTGTTACCCATGTTACGTTCCTATGTCCGCCATCTTGGTTCGCATACTTCGGGAGCACCCGTTCTAGTATAAAATCACATTTAAATATGCTGCGCGTCTCTCAACTCTTTTTCGTTACCCCCTCTGTGACCTTCCCCCTGGAAAGAGAGACAAGACCCATAAAATTGTTTCATTTTGGGTGCCACTATCAACATAGCATATTCTCTCGATTGGACGTACAAAATCTATACGTTGAAAACAAAAACATTCTAGATTCATTATTACTGTATCTACGGGTGTCCGCAAAGTCCCTTTACAATTTCAATTTTGTTATGAAGTCAGTTCTCAATATATTTTAACCAGTTTTTTTTTATTATCAGTGATTGTTTGAGTATTTTTACTTCATTTAATACATTTGCGAGGGCCAAAACCATATATGGTATCGATAAATTCTCTTTGCGATTTTAAAAAATATCAAGACTTTATGGACACCCTATATATCTTTCTATGAAGCTGTGAACTATATGGTATTCTTCCACATATTTTTTTTAGACTAAGCATGTCCTTCGTAATTTGGATCTGTCGCAATTCGATTCTAATTTTTTCTTATCAATTAGTGACAATAACCTTTGATCTGTAACTTTTAATTAATGAGTAGAATTGTGAATAAAAATCTGGCATCTGTCATTATCAAAGCTGAATTGTCACGATGTTCTGATATTGATATATAATGAGCAGGTTCGCCGACGTTATGAGGTGTAATTAGCAATCTGTAGCGACTTTTTTATTCGGAAATTGTTCGCGTAATAATACAATGTGTAAAGTGAACATTAAAGTTAAGCGGGGTATTGACAGATTTTTATATTCTAATGATAGTTCGTGTAAGATAGTACAGGACTGTGTATAATTCGAGAGATAGCGGTAGGCAGTAATTTCCCACAACCCTAAAAAAATTTCAATTTTGAAATGTGACACCACATTTCAATTCTTAACTTGAATATACGGTAATTGTATTTTGGATATCCAGGAAGTGACTTATATAGACTACTAGTGCAGATGGACCGCACATTTTGATGAGTTAAAAATAGCATTATTGCCATGTATTGTTAAAATGTCTAGACCTAAATTCATACTGATTCTGATCGTAATTTTAGATGAACACAGAAGCACACTGCTGTAACGGGGTTAAATTTTTTACGTTTTCTAGACCTCCTCTGTCATGGAGAAAAGCCGTGGTTCGCCGTCTCATCGACTTACCTCTCTAGAATATCCTATTACGTCAATTCCCAGAATTTAATATTCTTCGGACATCGTATTAATTTCAGTTTGAACTAACTTATTTTGCGCATTCGCACTGTATACCTCGAGACTCGGAAATATGTGCTAATTATGGGCGATAATAGTAATAATTATTCATCGCAAATTGGGAGCAATTATCCAAGAAATGCGTGGAATGTGCAAGCAAATACATTTGCAACATTCTTGGAATTGAAACATGTCGGCAGCAATTTTTATGCGGATATTTTTATGTATTTTGAAAGTCTTGTTTAGTCACATAATGAGGTATTCTTTTATGAATTGGAAAGTAAGTGAGTTACAAACTAATTGCGAGCCCAGCCAATTCGGGAATCAGAATCATAAGTTTGCGATTGTTTTTTGCTGGTTGGAAAAAATAAACTTGGCTTACTTGACAGTTGAAAACAGTTAATAACTGCTACGCTATCAAGGACAATGTTATTAGAATCACGTAGGCTACCCAAACTGATGTCAACCCTCGCTCAACAAACTTCAATATGTTCTTTTTCTTATCTTAATACAATATTGACACATTGGTAGAAAATAAAGTTAGCCTTCAAATAGTACCATTGGATTGAGTCTATGATGCACCAGTAAAATTGTATAAGAATTTTTATACAATATTGTTTATTGACGTAAACAACGACGTTCCATAAGCCGTTTTATAGAAGCCTTGGGTTATCAAGCAGCAATGTGCAAGGTTCTAATCGCGCGAGATTACCGCCAAACACTAATGTACATAGGTGGAGGGAGTGCATTTCGGAACCCTATTCCTTTTCATAATGCATAAAAAAACATTTTTCTGCACTCTTCACAGAATTTTTTTGCAGCTTGAAACGAAAATAGCTTCAGATCCACAATGCTCTTGAAAACCCACGTTTTCCGGCCTTCGGCGAGAACCGCTAGCTGTTACAGCTGGCATGGGCAAACTACGGCCCGCGGGCCAAATCCAGCCTCCAGATAATTCAATCCGGCAACAATCTACCACAACTAAACAAAAACACAGTTTGGATGTTTTAGCTAAAAATAGCTTAGGGAATTTGTTGGGATTGCGACTATATTCAGTTTTGACACGAGGTTTATTATTTTACATTTTCACTTTTGTAACACTTCAAATATTGTTTAAAATATACAAGTTTTTACGTCAAACTCACATGGCCCGCCAGTCTTGAAGGGCAAAATGTAGACAGTCTACAGCAGTGGTTCTCAAACTTTTTTAGTCCCAGAGCCGCATTTCAAACCTCAAAGGTATGAAGAGCCGCACTCAAACAACGCAAGGTAAAAACGCAACAAACCTTAAGCGCGTAATTAAAATACTAAGTCATCGTAACAACAACACACGTAACAACTAGGGCTGGGCAAAATTTTCGAATAATAAAATATTCGAATGGTATTTTACGATTCGACTATCCGGTTACCACGTGACCTGCGCCGCTCTGCTTTGGACACCGGAACTCGAGCGTCTTCAACTCAATCGTGAATTGTGCGAGATTTCCCAACGGCGGCTCGCTATCAGAAAAAAAAGAAAAATTTGAAAAGTCGTCTTTGCGTTGTGGTGTTATATGCTTATATTTGCACTTAACGTATCCTTTCATTTCATCATTTTGCAAAAAAAACGTACCGACCGTTCCGTAAATTTAGAAACGTCAAACCAGATTAGGTATTTAAAATAAATTTCCCAGATTTAAACTCGGCATGCTTGGTGACATTCATTAGCCATTTTCTTGCATTACCGAACATAAAGTGCTTAAAAATTAAATGTTAAAATGACTTTTCGGCGTTTCATTGTGAAAAAGGCGATTTTAGGTCGTTAAAACACTCTAGATATGTAAATAGCATGGATTTAAAAAGGACCAAAAGTTTTTCCAAACGCTGGTATGAGTTACTTGTATGCAAAACACTCATTAAGTTGTAACCAGATAAGAAATGTCATGTCCTACTCCCTTTAAAGCACTTTGTATTAGCTCTTTAGTGATCCCTTCCATCCTTTGCCAAGCAATGTTTCGAATATGTAAACATTTTACTCGACCCTGCATGGCCGTTGAGCCAAGAGTAGAACGTAAAATCAATCGTGAATTTTGTTGTAACAATGCACACTGACTCGTTCACGATTGTTGCGTCTATTATCATTGAAAATGATTACAATTGTTAAATTTTGAAAGCATTTGGGTAGTAATAATTAAGCCTCAAAGGCATGACATAATCAAAATCATTAAGTGAAGTGCTGAAATTGCAAATTCCGTAAAGAAAATTGAGCATTACTCAGTACGTATTTTAGCTATAATAACCATCGGGTGTTGTTTTCGTTGAAAAAAAAACCATTAAAACTTGAAGGAATTAGGTATAATTAGAGTCTGACCTCTATTAGGCACAGGCCTAGAAATGGCCTTTATTGCCATTTAATTTAATCGCTATTTTAAATCAACATCCAGGATTCACGCAATCGTAAATTTGCTAAGGTTTATCTATCTAATACTTAAAATAACACGGACACCAATAGAAAAGCATGAGAAACTTAAATATCATTATAATAAATATCTGCATCTCGGTTACCGTTCACTTTAAACATGCACGGTTAATTTACAAGCGGTGATACGGAAGATCGAATCCAAGGCAGAGGATAACCTTAGAATAGAATAAATTTGGTTTTGAAATCATGCTTAAATGTATTCAACAGCTATCGCTGATGTGAACGCAAGGGTAATACTAGAAATATGAAATTTCGAATATTCGGCGACCGCTTATTCTTGCAAAAACGAGAAAGGCGGAAATATAAGAATACCAACTTTAGGATATCGCCGCCAAAACGATCGCGGTGACAAAGACAATCAGCATTATGATAAAATTAACCATTAAAAAACGCTTTATTGCCGACTTTTCAATGTTTCTATTAATTTCCAAATGGAGTATCGACCTCCGACGTTCTGGATCCCTGTTATGTATAAAAAAATTCAAATTATCGATTCGAAAAAAGATTCATTTTGCCCACCCTATCTAACAGCTTTAATTAGGCTTTGATTTCTAATAAGTTTGTCAAAGCGGGTCGTAATCGTTGAGGATGCAAGCTGCAGTAGCTGCTTGAGATGATCGCCAGATTTTTCGAGACTATTTTCGATTACTGGAACACAATTAAAATGCTATAGAAATTAAAATAATCATCGAGTTATTTGGTTTATACATAAGATCTGGAAATGCGACAAAAACTGAAAATCCACGAAAGCAAGCCAATGATTACAGCCATGTCTAAAATCTTTCCGAGTGAAAAGTGTCCGATTGGCCGCGAAAACGCTCACTGTTGCGTCACAATTGCATCTTATAGGTTAGTCAACGCTACGCAAATAAACACGGGGGAATCCAATCGACTAACTAATAGACTCCAGCATTTTAATTTCGAGTCAATGATTAGTTTTCAATGAAAAATTTTCTTTGAAAATAATTAATTTTTAAAACATTAACGGGAGCCGCAGGAAAGGTTGTTGAGAGCCGCAAACCCTAGTTTGAGAATCACTCGTCTACAGTCTATGTAGAAGTGTAGACAGTCTAACTTGGCAATTTGAAATTTAAAAACCAGCCCCTCTGAAAATTCCTGGCTAGCCCCCCGAATATCTCACGAAACAACACGGAAAGTAGGCATTGACTCGTACGTTCCATAGATAGACTGTGAGGAGAAGTAATATCTTTGCCCAGGTTCTAAGTTTTGAATCGTAAACGTCTTGCTGCAACCAACATGTACGGATTGTACATCGCCTCGTTTCCCTTTCTTGTCTTTATAGGCTTTTGTAATGAAGGGTCCGTCATAATCTGATGTTATTATAACATTAATGGACGATGTTTTATTTAGAATGTTGACTCTTGTTTCCAATTTAGTTGGGGCCGGTGGAGCTGAAAAAATAGAAATGATAAGTTGGTGAATCCCTGTTGATGGAAATCGATCCGTGTCGACTGTCGATCATAGAATAGACTTTGACTTGAGTCATTTTTTCCTAAGGCTCGATTCTTCGGAATCGGTGTTCCCCAAACTTTTTTTTAGCATTACATACTTCAATGGGTACTCCCGTAGTATATGTACCAGCTTTAGGTTAGATCATTATTTTATTCCGATTTTCCTTATTTAGTTATATTACGATTTCAGGGACTGACTGCCTGTGTTAGCCAAGTGAATATAACCCTGCCCATAGGCTTCAGTTCCTTCACACAACTTGATGTAAAGTAGGCGAATAAAATTAATTACCTCCATATTAGTACACATACATCTGGATCACCGAGAAAATACTATACCTGTAATGAAAGTAGCACTTGTGGAGTTCTCAAAAAACTTATGAACATTCCCCGGCCTTATATGGATTCGATGTTCCTTTCCCGGTCTCAAATTCAAGCACTTCCAAGCAGGTCTTGCCACTTCAGCGGAATCCACAATTTTTCCTTCAAAATCGGTCACCTTGACGGCGAACATACGCGAATAGGGCGACGGCTTCCATTTGAATTTCACGGCTCCAGTTGGTTTTGTTCTCCGATCTGGGTCCGCCCATTTCCACTCCGATTTAATTTCAGTTGGGACATCTAGACCTGAATTGAAAGCAAAATTGAGTTAGTCTGAGGGCTAGGATTTTGGCCTAGTGTAGTGATTCTGTTTTTCTGTTTTAAAACTCTTTCAGGCCCCCCACTATGAGCTATAATCAAAGGCTGAGGCGCGCACCACAAGGGGCGTAGACATTTTTGAGGAGGCGTAAGGCCATATGATCATATTTGTCTGATTTAATCTTGCCCGCTAATTTGTATATTTACATTTCCTTTTTATTTAGAGATTGCAGAGAGCTGTTGTGTCAAATTTTGCTTGTTTTAAAACTTTTCATTCATTCACACTGCAGTTGAAGATTTTCCAGCTACTCTCAAAATTGATGTTAGAATTACCTGTTATAAAATTGAACCGCGAGGGAGCGCTATAGTGCTCATTCCAGAGTGCCCAGATTGTCGCAGTGTATTTCTCACTTCGTTTGAATTGAAATGAATTCTTATCCACCCAGATTTCTGTATCGTTTTCAATTTTGAACTCTTCACTTTTGGTTCCGGACGACAGAACACACAAGTACGAAGTGGCCTTTTCGATTCTTGACCAGGCGATAAGAACAGCGTTCCACTCGATGATCTTGACTTGAACTTCGGGAGATTCCGTGACTAAAATAAAAGTGGGGTTACTTGAATTAGCGCTGGTCGAGGCAATCAAAAACTTTTGATAAATCAAAAAAAACAAGAGAGCTATGCTCAATTATATGGACACGAAACCTAAAACCAAGTAAGTATAGCATCAAATCTGTTACAGTATCGGTAGTGTACCGTAACTTACCAGTACCAGTACCTGTACTGTCCAGATTTCTCAGGTCCTGTGACGATAATGATTTATGCCTGCAGCCTCAACGTAAACGTAAATATGGAATAATTTCAGTCACTAATCTCTTTTCACTAGGATAGGATTTACATATTTATCCCGGGGGAGAGGAAAGCCGATAAGACGGCTTTTCCATATGGCGAACCACGGCCTCTCGTCCGGTTATCATTCCAAGTCGGGTATGGGATTAGTTATATTGTTTGTTTTTGGAAGCATGGACTTGGTGTTGGAGGAAGCCGTCACCGACCAGCAGTTACGTGAACCACCCAACGACGGCGAGGAGTCCAGCAATCCTCTCGCACATAACCATCCCTGCATGGGATTCGAACCTGCGAACCCACGCAAGGTAATTAGAGGTGCGGTAGAGAGCGTAATCCTAACGCTTAGCCCGTTGAGCCACATCGACGCGCCTACCGGCATGCTACCGTGCCTCATCAAAAAAATTTTGCGTAGCACGTGATCCGCTGACATACCGCTACAAGTAAAGTTGATGACACATAACTTCGAAGTGAACAACGAATCCCATGAAGCTCAAATGAATTGTTATTGAAATAATTGTTGTTAATTGAAATAGTTCAACACGATGATCAACATAACAAAATAAAAACATATGTACAGTTCTTGTCCAATAACTATTTTTAAATTCCCACCTACAAAGTGACAAGGGTCAGATTCCTCTCCTCCTCCAGCTGAAACACGGAATGTGAAGCTCCCAGGTTGCAAGTCCTTAAACGCATACTCCGATTTCATTGTGGTGACGGGCTCCAGTAGTTGATCGTTTTTCCATAACCTGATTGTGTAATGCACTGTATCATCCTTGCATTTGTTCCATTTGAGAACCTTGTTTTGAGATTTTTCATCTGGTTCGCATTTTACGCCGGTCACTTTTCCTGGTACTGTAAAAAGGGGATTTTAAATTTGAATTACAAAGTGTAACAAACAAGTGATTCAATAGTGTCCTGCTTCACAATAACACAAATGTGTTTCGTAAGAATTCACATATATATTTATACTGGGTCTCGTCCGGTTACCATTCCATGTCGGGTATGGGATTAATTTGCCAGTTATTTGTTTTCGGAAGCATGGACTTGAGCGTGGAGGAAACCGTAACCAGTCAGCTGTTATGTCAATCACCCTACGGCGGCGAGGAGTCCATCAATCCTTTTGCGCATAATTATCCCCTCAAGAGATACCCACGCAGGGTAATCATAGGTGACGGGGCGAGTGTATTCATAACGTTGAGCGCGATGCGCCGCACCGCCGAGCCTCATCCAGCAACAGATTGCTTAGTGGTTGAAATGTTGGACTTCATGGTTACTTACTCTCAATTACAAATCCGATGCCCACCACCTCGTCTTTGGTGGGCTAATCCGAAACGGGATTATGATTCTTCCAAGATATAGAAGCTTCTTGCTATTACTGGCTGATGGTACTGCAATTTTTGGCAGTTACAATGCATTGAAAAAACGTTGCATATAAAAACTCACGTGTGGCCACAGATGGACTCGACTTTTCTGGCGTTTTCACATCTTTTAAGACACAAGAGGCGCGAATAACGTAATGTGTCGCGGGAAGTAGATTTTTCAAAATTGTTTTTCTTTCTTGAACAATCTCTTCATATTCGTCGAGATCCCTCCCTTTGATCTTCAAAATAAAAGCTTCCCTATGGTCCGAATGTATCTCCAGTTCCAAATTAGTTGTTGGGTCCACTAGAGGGCGTGAGATGGTGACGTCTTTTGGACCTGTGATTGTAATATCAGTAATTTACAGAGAGAAATGATATTTCAACGGTTGGTTGGTTGCTTGAAACGCGGAAGGCAAGACCAGATGTTTCCAACTTTTTTCGTTTCATTTCTTTCTTCGGATAATTTGGAACCTCCATTGGAGGGAATTTCTACTCCGTTGGGGAACGCGGGTTTAGACGGCGTTGTCGGATAAACATGGAACATCCCTCCACGGGATGAATTTCTATCAACGGGGTCAGATATTTTAAGATTTTATTGTTTCGTAAAGGGAGGCGGGTGATTGTTTCTGTAGTCTCTAAAAAAACGTCTGGCTAAATATTAAACCCACGTGTTCACAAGACCTCAACTGGCCTGGCGTCCGGCTTAGAACAGTGGTTCTTTTTTTTCGTGGCCCATATTTGCTGTGCAAAATTTTTGTGGGACATTAAGTGGTGGCTTAGAAGATTCATCGAACGACAATATAAATGGAATAATAAACAGGGGGCCATAAACGCTAAAAGCCTTCAGAAAAGGGCCACGAGCCATAAAAGGTTGGGAACCACTGTGATAAAGTTTACTTACGTGTAACTATGGTCCCAGCGTAATGCTTCGGACTTTGGAGATTCCCGTTCATCGCCCAGATTTTGAAATTATAAGTTCTTCCGTCACTAAGAGGCGGGGAAATACAAGAGTTCTCCCCATTAAACGTAACATCTTTTTCCTTCGGATGTGACATAACTACCAGAGCTGTCTTCATTCCATTTGACTTTTCATATAAAATCAGAACGCGATCGTGTTCCGTGTCACTAAATTTGTATTTCACGTTGGAAGGTGGGAGGAGAGCTGTAAAAAAGAGTTGGATACTTATTTTACAACGTTTGACGATTTTCACCCAGAAATAGTTCTGCACCAGAATTCCTGATATGTTAGATTCCGCATTGGAAGGCCGACGAAGTGTCGCAAAATAAATTTAAATCTCATTTTTAGGATAGGATTCATCTTGGGGGCGAAAAGGCAGCTAATAAAACGGCCCAATCACATGACGAACCGCGGCATCTCGTCCGGTTACCAGTTCAAGTCGGGTATGGAATTAGTTAGCCAGTTATTTGTTTTCGAGATATCGATTTAATGGTGGAGGAAGCCATAACTTAACCATCGGTTACGTGAACCACCTACGGCAGCAAGAAGTCCAGCAATCCTCTCGCACATAATTATCCCGCATGGGATTCGAACCTGCGGCCCCACAAACCTTCGTTTCTAACAACTTTACAACAACAATTTATTTATTTATACCACGCTTGCAAGACTTTTATTGAGAACCCAAAACAAGGCTTTGAACAAGCGTTCACTGATGTGTGGGTAGCTACCATTTACTATTTTTATTTGTTTGTATATTTTTCTTCTTTACTGTGTCCAGTCCCAGTACAAGACAAATAAATGGCATAAGTTACACGAAAAATTTTCAAAGCAACCAACCAGGCACACTCTCAAAGAATGCTGTAGAACAGCGGTTCCCAAAAGGTGCGCCGCGGCGCACTAGTTGCTAGGTACGCCGCGAAAATCAACAGAATTGTGTTAAACATATCTAAAATATGATTGAATATTCTACAAATTGTATTTATTTTATAGGTTTAATTGTTTCTTCTTCCAAATGCTGTGTATATAAATCGATAAGTTCACTTCACCTTCCTATGTCGTTTACTTTTTGTTACTTATTGTCTGCTTCTATTGTTACGTAACAATATAGGTGAACCACTATTTGCTGGAATTTCGTGATCTGCAGTCAATTTATCTGCTGAATTGAGTTTAGCGAACGAGAGTGATTTTTTTAGCATTTCGAATGATAATCGGGCTTTTGCATTTATTGCATAGACCTACATGCTTACAAACTTTCACAGGAATAAAGTACACATTAACGATCACAAAATTGAGTTTAGTTTGAAAGCAGAATCTTTTTCGTGTAAGTGCGCCGTGAGTTTTTTCCCTGGTAAAATGGCGCCGCGAGAACAAAAAGTTTGGGAACCGCTGCTGTAGAAGACTATTTATGTTAGTGTGCAGCAAGACTCTTGAATCACTTAGGATAATTGATTTGAAATCTCGCTTTTTCGCTTCCGATCATATCATATCTCGGTGATTGTGTGTGTGTGTGTGCCTGCGTGCTTTAATTAGTTTTAATTTTGGGTGAGCGAACACGTACTACTTCTTTTATCAATATATTTCCATCTAAAATCTGTACGAGTTGAACATTACTTGAGGTTTTGTTCGCTTTCCCGATTCTATAATCATTTTTATTCATTTTGATTCATTTTGTAGTAGGAAACAGGAACCTATGTTATAAAAGAATTCCATATTGTGTTGATCTTCATAAAAAAATGAATGCTTATTTTTTATACTTTTTTCACATTTTTTACTCAAAACAAGGCTCTATACCAGGGGTGGCCAACCTTTCACATACCATGCGCCACGTTTTAAACATAATGTTTCAGATGCGTCGTAAATCTTTTGTATTCCCACGCCTAATGTTGAAATTATATAAATTTATAATACACACACATATATACACACGTATATGTAGTTTTTACAATTTACAACTTCACATGAATAGAAATTAAGCAAGGGAGTATAATAAATAAAACTGATCAATTTTATTAAGTACCGCCTCTATGAGACTTTTGCTGCTGTTTTACTTTCGCTGTTTGGCCTAGCGTCGCGTGATTTTACTCCAGGCTTCTTCGAGATTAGTACTTGCGTCACAGCAAGCAATTTTACGCTTCGCTTTTGTTGACAACGATCATTTGAAGTTTGGATGAAAAAGGTGGTATTTAGGGGTCATTTTCAGCATGTTGTGGGTTGATTTATAATAAATTTTTTAGGCTTGGGCAATTCAACTGGTTGTTCAATGGCTATTGGGAGATATTTGGGAAGTCTGGGCAATGGAAAATCCATGTTTCAAGCTGATAAATGACGATTTTCTATTTTTCCAGAAGTTCTGAACTTTTTACTTCAGTAGGGAAAAAATAGTAAATTTTACTAATTTTCGCTAAAAGTCTAGAATGAATGTCATAAAGTCCGTCCAAAAGCTAACGTCGATAATCGCCTGTTGTTTCTAATTCCAACAAGCCGTAAGTGGGCAACGTGGAGTAAGGAGAATAGATTTTAGGTACAATCAAAAGTCACCATGTAAATCGCAAAAAAACGACTTGGCGTGGAGAAGCCAAGTGCAAATAACAATTTTTGCATGAAAAGGGTTAAAGATGCAATGCGCCACCTCTAATCATGCAATGCGCCACGTTTGGCGCATGCGCCATAGGTTGGCCACCCCTGCTCTATACAATCCGCCACAGTCGTAATAGCTATTGAAACTTCACATAATGTCATACTCACGTATGAAACACTTTTCCGATATCGTATTCTTTCCTGCAATTCCATCAATGTTGAACGGGGTGACCTCACAGGTATAAAACGCACCAGGTTGTGCGACATAATTCGTGAATGTTGTTTCAACAGATTTGCATGTAACTTGCTTCACTTTCTCGCCTTCTTCGAATAGTGTGACTTGGTAGCTGCTTGCGTTTTCACTTGCTTCCCATTTGGCTCGCAATATGTCGTCTTCATGGTACAACCGCAGTTTTCTCGCTTTATCTGGAGCTGAAATTTCATCACAATTTATATTATAATGTTATAATGTTTCTACTTTAGAGCAGGGGTGTGCAACCTTTAAAGAAGGGTCAGATATAAAGAATTTGGTGAAACCGCGGCCCGAACTTAATAGGCTTAATATTAGTTGCAGGCAACAGGTTATTAATCTTATGACATGCGTTGTTCCCTTCACACAAGCTAGCTGCTAGGATATTGTAGCGTCGTAGGCATAGATAATAAATTGGATAGGAAAGTTGCAAAGATATTGGAATAACTCGCATATATAAGCTTAAACTCGTTTTGCGGGTCACACATCATTGAAAATTGTCACTTCTCCGCGGGCCGCACATTCTTTGCGGGCCGCAGCTTGTACACTGCTGCTTTAAGAGTGTTGGGTTTATTTTAGGTCACTGATGAGATTCGGGGGCTCGGGCGAACCCTTGTTAATCCCCATTTGGCCCGCGGGCCGCAGGTTGCACACGCCGTTTACTTTAGGTCAGTGATGGGTTCAGGGGTGGGGACATTCGATCCTCTCGTTTTTGGCATATCGTGATAATCAGTAACCCATTTCTGTTTTAGTTTCATACGTACGACTTTGGTTATATTTTTCTAGTTTAGGAAGTATGTATTAGAATTAGATTTATGTAAAGCGTGTCCTTTCAATTCAGCTTATTTAATGATATGCATATATGTTCTAAAATGAGGGATATGTGAAATACTCAATCATATTTTCATTGCGTTCAACACAATTTCCGGCGCGCCCTCAGGAGCTGCTGCTCTATATGCTTGCTTGTTCATTCTTTGAGAGCTCGTAAAACTGCTACGGGCAATCTTCTCTTTAGACCATTCTCCAAATCCACTTTTATTTCTTTCACGAATATAGACAGAGCACTCGCAACCTTTATGCAAGGCCTGGCAAAACAAACTTGCTTTATCTCCTTCTGAACTCAAAACTTGCTCTTCACGGCTTCCACTTTCGCATACGCATTTGATCAATACTTCATGCTTTTCGCAATGTTCCTGTGACTTCCAGGCCAGCAAAAATTTACTTTCCGGTTTACCGTTGTCCAAAACATAATGAATATCACGGTAATCCGGTTTCGCTGGAACTGAAAAATAAACCAAAGATGTAATATCTGCATAGTGCAAAATAACAAAATTATTCAAAATTGTCAACCATGAAGGGTTGTTAACGGTTCACCGTGGTCTGACACGTAGCAAATGCCGTGACAATCCGATTTTCTTAAAATTAAAAAATACTTGACTCATTGATGTTATATCTACATAGCACAATTTGTAGTACACAGTACAAAGTTTGGGAGCGCTAACAACACCGTTTAGATTAACGATTTACCGTGATCTAAAACATAATGAATGCCACGGTAATCCGCTTTTCTTGAAGCTATTAAATAAAATGATGATGTTATATCTGCTCATTACAGAATATAATTAAAATATTAAATAACCGGTAGCCACGTTGGTTAACGGTTTACCGACATCAAAACCCTATAAAATTTAAATTTATAGTATAAATGAACTTAATAGTTTCTAGCAATTTCATTTATATTTGGGCATTAGAAATTAGAATCTGGTCCTGAGGTCCATCCCATAGGTCTACTTATATATCGCCGCAGTAAAACCGGCGCTCCTGAAGTAAGTATATTAATATAGAGATAACTAATTTTGTTCGCCTACTTTAGATCAATTTGGGTAAAGGGACGAAAACCAAGGGGGTATATTCACTTGGCTAACACAGACAGTCCCCGAGCTCGTAATAGAACTAAAATAAGGAATGAAATCAAGGCCTAACCTAACCTGGTACACATACTACGGTAGTACCAAATATTTCAGAAATCTATTTTCTTTTATCGTCTGTTATCAAAGATCAGCGGCCGTTTCTTTTATCGGGTTCCATAGCTATACCTAAGTTTTGTTTTTAGGTAAAACCTTCTGTGCATTTTTGAGTTTGGTTATATAGACTGAAAATTACAAAAATTCGGGTTTCCCAAAATCTTAGAATTTGACATAAGCTAATTTGATTATCAAAGGTTAGGAATTACATATTTGCCCCAGAAAAGAAGAATCCGATAAGACGACTCAATCATATGGCGAACAATGGTCTCTCATTCGGTTACCAGTCCATGTCGGGTATGGGATTAGTTAGCACAGGGTGGTCCAGGGTTGTCGGTTCCGTGGGCCACAAAATTATTTTTACATTGTTCGCGGTCCTCAATAGGTAAACGGTGCTATACAAAACAAACACTTTCATTGTGCAAACACATTGCTCATCATATGCCATTTATCAAGCCAACCTAGGCTAACAGAATCCGCATTCGACTTTTAGTTTTATATGATGCCAAAACTGTTAGCATATATTCCCGACCAAAAAGATAAGATGCCAGTTAACAATTTAGACTAGCCACACACACCCTTAAACTGCGCTAGTTGCCTCAGCCAGCCATAGAACTAGTCAATTCAGTAACATTAGTGATGTAACAATATGTCAAAACAGTTTTCTGGTTAATTTTATGACAAAACAACACCAAATGCGATCTCTTGATTACTCTCCGAATGCGACGCTGGACACATACGGGCTACATGTGGCCCGCGAGCCTGGGTTTGGACAACCCCGAGTTAGCCAGGTATTTGTTTCAGATGTACGAACTTGATATATACTGTGGCTATATATATACAGTATATACAATAAAATGAAGAAAAGATGATTTTACCTGTCAGAATTCTGATGGGATCTTTAGTTGGTTTTCCTGTCTCGGCTCCATATTTGGATGTGATATTAATCTATAGGTATAATAAAAACTCAAATTATTTTTATCTGTACGATGTTAGTTGGGGTTGCGCGAGACTAATGTGGCGGGACTGAATTATTCTATTTGTTTTTCTTGTCTAGTTAATGTATATGCATTGGTGTTTGGAGTCTGAGCCCTAATTCGCCCGATAGTTTGATCCAGTAACTCGACTCCAACCACCACTGCATATGTGAACTGTGCTGCGTACACAATGTTCGCTCTTCTTGCTTCTGCTGTCGCTGGATGAGGACCGTATTTTTGTCGCTCTATTTTATCTGCTTTAAGCGTGGATTTTACACTATTTTAATAAAGTCTCTTCGTTTGCATCGTGAACTTCGAACCTACTTGTGTGTCTTTGCAGCACATTGGATCTTCTGAACTAATTATTACAGTATTACTAGACTGTATTAGTGGCGAGCACCTACCGGTATTCCGGTTAAGTCGTACCGTTGCAAATTGACGAGCTAGCGCCAGAATTGAAAAATCAGACGATTTTTTGATTAAAAGTTCATGATGTCACACCGAAGAAAGAATTGCGACCAGGAACGAGATGTAATATGGAATAAAATTTCCCAGATGGAAACCGAAAACAAAGAAATTAAAAACATGAATAGAGAAATACAAATGGTGAATAAAGAAATTGAAGATAAGAATAAAGTACTAGAAGCTGAAAATAAAGAACTGGCTAGACAACTGCAAATAGTCTATGCTAGTGTTGCAAAACTTGAAGAAAGAGATGTTGGCATGAAGGAAGTACTCGAACGGGTGTTGTGCCGTCTGGAGAGCATTGACGAGGCCATGGCTGAGGGTGAGGTGCCATCATTTATTCCTAAACCTATTCTGAAAACCCCTGAGGTGCCTAAGAGTGTTGATAGGAATGGTGAACCTGACTGCCCTGATAATGAATGTTTGATGAATGGTACCGGTACTATTAAAAAATTGAATTTTGCTGATGAGTGTGTGGTTGACCAGTCTACACCTATGCATGCAAGTGTGAATGGTAACGTTACTGATTGCAAGGCAGTTCCTTTTGGTATGAATAATAGTATGAGAGTGGATATCCAGCCTGATACTTTTAATGGTGATGGTATGTCTTTGGATGATTATTTGTGTCATTTTTCATCCATTACTACCTGTAATGGATGGACTGATAAAATTGCTGGTGTTCATTTTGCTGCATGTATGCGTGGGAAGGCTTTGTCCTTGTTGAATGAATTATCCCTTCCAGATAGACACAGTTTGAGTGTTGCAGTGAATCACTTGAAAAAGCGTTATTATCCAGAGGGTAAGGAGTCATACTTTGCTACTTTGTTTAATAACAGGAAGAAGTTGGCCACTGAGACGCCAACGGAATATGCTACTTCTCTTCGTGCATTGTCGAGGAAGGCTTATCCTTCTTTGGATGTTATTGCTCGTGAGAATCTGATTAAGCAGCGTTTCATTTCAGGTTTTCCTGATTTCGAGATGTGTAAGACTTTGACTATCAGGCAGACTCAGAGTTTGGATGAATTAATTACTGTGGCTGATGTTTGTCATTCTATTGATGCTACGCACAGTGTACCTGGTTGCAATCGTGCTAGTAAGCCCATGGTAGCTGTTGTGAATAATTCTGAGCGTGATGATGGTGTGTGTGAATCTGAATTTAGTAAGCTGCGGAATGATATTAAAGAGATGCTTGACAGTTTTCGTGCTATGATTGACAAAGGTCATCAACCCCGATTTTCCCGTCAGAAGGGTGGGCGTAGGAATGAAGGTATTACTTGTTATGGCTGTGGTGCCAAGGGTCACATACGTAGGAATTGTCCTGAGAACCAGTGCCAGAGATGTCATGGCAGAGGTCACACAGCTTCTCAGTGTGATCGATATTATGTTCCACAGAATTCGCAGCCTTCTGCTTATTCGGCCCAGCAAACGGTCAGTGGCCCGGTAGGAAATTTTTCACCAGGGAATAGCTCAAATTCTGCCTGGGGTGGGAATGGCCAAACTCCTCGTGACGGTGGGAATATTCCCCAGTTTCACCCTTCTCCCAAGAATAATGATATGCCTTTAAACAGAAATCAGTAGCACGGGGGTCCTCAGTTGCTACTGGAAAGATGACGAATGTATGCATGGACCATGATTTTGATAATTTGATTTGTTCTTTGAGATTACCCACTAGCTGGTATGCTATGGTTGATGTGAATGGCATTACTGTACGTTTTCTTATTGATTCTGGTAGTGCTGCTACGCTTATAGATTATGCAGTTTTTTGTTCTATTGGTGGAAAGGAGTGTGATTTGTCTCCTTGTGATGTTTGTTTTCAAACTGCTAATGGTACTTCTCTGAAAGCTCGTGGTATGATTGATTTGAAAATTTGTATTGATTCTGTGTGTGCTGTTCAAAGAGTGATTGTTGCTGATCTTGGTGCCCCCTATGGTTTGCTTGGTATGGATTATTTCCAAAAGCATGACTGTGTTTTGCATATGTCTGTAGGTCAAATGGAGGTTGATGGTAAAACTGTTTCCCTGACTAAGCCTGTTTCGTCTGTTCCTAGTTGTAGAATTGTTGTAGATAAATGTGTGACTGTTCCCAGAGAGAGTGAGATGGTGATTTATGGTCGTTTGAATTGCCCATGGAAACCCAATAGTGACGTCATAGCTGTGGCAGAGGCTGCGTGTGTGTTTGAGAGCGAGTATGGCCATCGTGGTTTATTTTTATTTCCCGGAGTGGTGGACGCCTCATGCTCTTTAGTGCCTCTCATGGTGGTCAATGTTAGCAAGGAAGCGGTAGAAATACCTGCGGATTTGCTAATCGGTTTACTATGCCCAAGAGAAAACCTGACTGTCTCTTCTCTGGAACAAGTGGTGCCTGGTGATGTCATGGACACCAGGGAACTACCTGAACATTTGAAGAAGCTCGTCGACGATCCAGAAGATTTAACGGTTGAACAACGTCAAAGTGTTCATGATTTGCTCATCGAATTTCAGGATATTTTTGCTGGTCCTGATGGCAAACTGGGACGAACTTCTGTAGTCAAACATAAGATTAAAACGTCAACATCTGAACCAATCAAAGTTCCACCGCGACGTATGGGATGGGCGAAAAGAGAAATCGCAGAGAAACAAGTACAGAGCATGCTTGCTCAAGGTGTAATAGAACCGAGTGAAAGTCCCTATAATTCGCCTATTGTTCTCGTTCCTAAGAAAGACGGAAGTTGTCGTTTTTGTATCGATTTCCGGAAAATTAATCTGGTAACCATCAAAGATGCCTACAGTTTGCCAAGAATTGATGATATTTTGGATGCATTGGGTAAAGCAAAGTGGTTTTCATCGTTGGACTTGGCGAGTGGGTACTGGCAAGTAGAACTCGACCCAGAAGATCGGGAAAAAACAGCATTCAGCTTGCCAGGAAATAATCATTTTCAATTCCGTGTTCTTGCCTTCGGTCTGGCCAATGCGCCATCTTGCTTCCAGCGTTTAATAGACAAAGTTTTGGCTGGAATTTTATGGAAAATATGTCTCGCATTTTTAGATGATATTTTGGCTTATGGCGAAAACTTTGATCTGGCCATGAGCAGCTTACGTGAAGTTTTTGTAAGAATTCGTGCTGCTGGACTTAAATTCAAGCCGGAGAAGTGTAAACTTTTTCGTCGTAAAGTGGAATATTTGGGACATGTAATATCTGAATATGGTGTAAGCTGTAGCGATAGAAAAATTGCTGCTGTTCGTGATTGGCCCAAGCCTGCTAATGTCAAAGAATTGCAGTCATTTCTTGGATTTTGTAATTATTACAGACAATTTGTTGAAGATTTCTCTACCATTGCACATCCTCTTGTTCATCTGACAAAGAAGAAAGTAGAATTTGCTTGGACAAAGCAGTGTGATGTCGCTTTTCTTCGCTTGAAAGAACTTTTAGTTCGTGCTCCTGTTTTATCATTTCCACAGGAAGATGGAGACGAATTCATTTTAGATACTGATTGTTCTGGTTTTGGAGCTGGCGCAGTTTTAAGTCAAATTCAGAATGGCAAGGAAAAAGTCATTGCATATGCCAGCGTTACCCTTAACAAGGCACAGAAGAGATATTGTGCAACGTATCGAGAACTTTTTGCGTTGCAGTGGGGGGTCAAACATTTTCGTCACTTCCTGTGGGGTCGACATTTCAAACTGAGAACTGACCATGCTTCACTACGTTGGCTTCTGAATTTTAAAGATCCTGAAGGCATTGTAGCTCGTTGGATATCAGTTCTGGACACTTACGATTTTACAGTTGAACATCGTGCTGGTTCCAAGCATGGCAATGCTGATGGTTTGAGTCGTATTCGTCGCCGATGTAAGCGTGATTCCTGCACTAGTTGTGGGAATGGTGATCAGCCGTGTGAATTGGAAATTGTCAAAGTTGCTGCTTTGCAACCGAGTCATGGTAATTCTATGGAATGGCTCGCTTCGTATTCATCGACCGATGTGCGTGAGATGCAGATGAAGGACGATAACATCTCTAAAGTACTGACAATGAAGGAAACGTTGGATCAACCACCCCCAGCTGCAGAACTCTTGTTTTTCTCCAGAGAAGTTCGGATCCTGTGCAGCCAGTGGAAATTATTGAGAGTCATCGATGGAGTGCTTCATCGAGAGTTTTTGCCATCCGCGCCTGTAGGGAAATCCATTTTTCAAATTGTGTTGCCTTTAGTTTTGCGTCGCGAAATGTACCGACAACTCCATGAGTTGCGTACTGGTGGACATTTGGGTAAAGAACGAACTTATAAAAAATTGAGGGAACGATTTTATTGGCCTAGAATGCACAGCCAAGTATCTTCTTGGTGTCGTTATTGTAAAGCTTGCACTGCTACCAAAACCCCTCATGGGAAACGACGTGCAGAAATGTGTAAAATGATTTGTACTGAGCCACTTCTCAGAATTAGTCTTGATTTTGTGGGTCCTTTACCTAAAACTGAACGGGGCAATGAACATCTGTTAGTAGTCACAGACTATTTTACTAAATGGGTTGAGGCTTATCCTTTGCCTAATCAAAAGGCCAGTACTACAGCCGATGTACTTGTAACGGAATTTTTTAGTAGATTTGGTACTCCTAGAATTATTCATTGTGACCAAGGGGTTAATTTTGAATCTCATTTGTTTAAGCATATGTGTTCCTTATTTGAAATTGATAAAACCCGTACGACTCCTTATCATCCTAGGTCGGATGGTCTATGTGAAAGAATGAATAAGACCTTGCAGCAAATGCTTAAAGCATTTGTAGATTCTAGCCGCACAGACTGGGATGAACACATTCCTTATCTTTTAATGGCTTATAGATCTACTGTACATGAAAGTACAGGTTTTACTCCGAATCGTTTAATGTTGGGACGTGAAATTTCATTGCCGACTGATTTACTTTTTGGTAAACCTCCTGATCATAATGTCCCTAAGTGTTATGATGAATTTGTTGAATGGTTTGATAATGCTACATCTGAAGCTTTTGAATTTGCTCGAGAACAGTTGGGTAAATCTGCTGTTCGACAGAAACGTAATTTTAATGCAACTGTTAAGCCTTTATCCTTTAATGTTGGTGATCTTGTGTGGTATTTTTATCCTCCTAAGAGTAGAAAACTTTCGACTGGTTGGATAGGTCCTTTTGAAGTGTTAGATTGTTTTTCACATTTTGTTTATCGTATCAAGAATGTTAACACTGGTAATTGTAGAATAGCTCATGTTGATCATCTTCGTTTATATTTGATGGAAGATTGTGACAATTTACCTAATATTAATGCCGATTTCCCAGACAATATTGCTATTTCCAATGATGATGTACAGGATGTTGTTATTGAACCAGAAGTTAATCCTGATTTGCCTGTTAGGGATTCTGATCATCAGACTGTTACTCGTTCTGGTAGGACAAGGCGTAGACCTGCCTACTTGGATGATTTTCATACTTGATTTATGCGCTGTAACATTTTGTTTTGAATTACATTGGGAATTGTGCTATAATGTATATGGTTAGGTAGGACTAGTTAGTGTTTTTAGATAGGGTTTATTGGATTTTGTAGTTGGGAATTTTTTGTATATTTATTGTGTATTTTGTAAATAGTATGCTTTATATTTGTTATGCTTTCAGGAATGCTTTCTACTGTTTGATATTTCGTTCCAGTGTGTTTCATATTTTGCTAATACCTGCCGATAGACATACACATTGTGTTTTTTACGAGTTTTGTATTCTTACTGTGTTAATACCTTTCTTAGGGGATGTTTTTATTTTTTTTAAGAGTAAATTTTTTGTTAATTTTCTCTAATGAAAAGGGGAGTATTGTGGCGGGACTGAATTATTCTATTTGTTTTTCTTGTCTAGTTAATGTATATGCATTGGTGTTTGGAGTCTGAGCCCTAATTCGCCCGATAGTTTGATCCAGTAACTCGACTCCAACCACCACTGCATATGTGAACTGTGCTGCGTACGCAGTGTCATCTCTTCTTGCTTCTGCTGTCGCTGGGTAAGGAACGTATTTTTGTCGCTCTATTTTATCTGCTTTGAGCGTGGATTTTACACTGTTTTAATAAAGTCTCTTCGTTTGCATCGTGAACTTCGAACCTACTTGTGTGTCTTTGCAGCACATTGGATCTTCTGAACTAATTATTACAGTATTACTAGACTGTATTAGTGGCGAGCACCTACCGGTATTCCGGTTAAGTCGTACCGTTGCACTAATCCTCCTCCTCTACAGGAGACAGAAGGAGAAGGGGGGAGGGGGGGAAGTTTCCAATAGACCGTAACAGCTGGCGGGTCCGGTTTTCAAGAGCCATGGATGTCCAAAAACCGTTTAAACTACGAAAAAATTGATGTGTATGATACAGATTTTTTTTTACATTTCGAGGTAGTACGCCCCTGATTCTCTATCTTGCGTACAAAGATAAATATTCTGTGTGATTCAAGAGTCTTGCTGAACGCTGACAAAAATTTGTATTGAGGGGTCCTATGAAGCGTTACGGAAATATGTGTGTTAGTGTGCAGCAAGACTCCTAAATCACTTTTTTTGTTGATTTTTACAATGCTCAGGACTTTGAGTTAGTTACAAGGTAAATAGATTAACGTAAATAAAAGGAAAGGCTTTAATTTCAATTATCTTCCTTCGCCTACCCTTATACTCAGATTCGTCCCCGTGCAATTCAAACGGCCGACTCTGCATTTAGGTACACCTAGTACGCACGAAATATCATATACTGGAAACCGAAAACTTTGAACAAATCGTTTGAGTTTTCTCACCCCGTATTTCGTTGCCAGTTCCAGTTTATCAATAACCAACGAGTCTTTCTCGGTTTCTATTTTACTCGATTCCTCTTCGCCAACACGAAATACCTCAATAGTGTGAGCAGTTGCACCAAGAGCAGGCGTGAATGATAATGAAACAGAGTCGGGTACCGCTTCTATTAGCTTCACTGTGGCGTCTCTGGCAACGCTGAAATCTGGAAAGTAAATGTAACTTGTAAATCAAAACTTGGAGCCATTCTGGTGACAATTAAAGTTTCCCCGACGTTTGGCCTTCCTAGAAGTAATTTCTGCATTCATTTTGATTAAATAAACCGGCAGGAATGCGAAACGATCACCGAATTGTTTGATTCCCGAATTTCGGGAATACGACCAAAGACTGACATTATTTGAAGTGACAAAAATGTCTGGCGGTTGCTGAAAATCCAATTGTTACGTCTTATTTTACATCTAGCTGATTAGCTAATTTTGCGGAAGTAAACATGGAAGTCGATGCTCGGGGAAATCTAAAGGTTCGCGTTTTCGGCATCTGGGAGTCTGATGCCAGAGTCTTGAACTAAGGAAAACGAAATAGATACTTCGCGGTTCTTCTGAAGTATTGAAATATGCGAACCAAAAAGACGGACACCGGAACGTAATATGTGTACCAGGTTAGAGTTAGGCCATAATTTTATTACTATTTTCCTTATTTTAATTCTTTTACGAGTTCGGGGACTATCCAAGTGAATCCCGTATTATTTGTACCTAAAATTATGGCCTAACCCTAACCTGGTACATATATATACTACGTTCCGGTGTTCGCCATCTTGGTATGCATACTCCAGGAGAGGTGTACTTCGCTTACCAGTTTTAATCGTTTCTTGAGCGGAATAAGACCCATATCCTAGTTTTTCTGCTGCTTTCACCATAACTTCGTATTTCGTGTTTGGCTGAAGTTCAGTGAGCGTGTGTGACGTCACACTCTTCTCAATTTCCGTTGTCACTGAGCGATCGATGCTCTTGTACTTTACTTTGTAAGTTACTGCGCCGTCCGTAGGATTCCAAAAACTGTTTACTGCTGTATCTGGATTTTCTGGATTCAATTCTACACGAAGACCTTTAACTTTGATGGCACCTGAAAATACATTTGTGCAATGTTGTATTGAATTCCCCGAAAACGTGGAATGAAGCAGTCTACAAGTGAATTATTTTTTGTTATTTTCCTATTTTATTCATCGCGTGCTCCCGCTTTAAGTCTATGCTGTAGGGTAGCTATAGGATAGGATTTGCATATTTATCCCGCGTGAGTGGAAATTTGATAAGATGGCTTCATCATATGGCGATGATTTCTTATACGTGGACTTCGCCGCGTGCTTCCGCTTTGAGGCTCTGCTATAGATATGGGGAAGCTGCGGGTTACTGCATAAATAGCTAGCTGTTTTGAAGCATAGCTTATGTAAGTTAATTGAATTTGGCTATACTCCGTGCTAAGAATTTTCAAGGGGTGGCGGAAGATTCTGAAATTTCTAACAACTAAGTTGGACCGTAACAGCTAGCGGGTCCAGATTGAGACGAAAAATCGCATGATACAGGAATATGATAACTACATGTATGATACAAGGAAATCAGATTTATTACATTTTAAAAGATGAAAGGAGGGGGGGGGGGCGACTTTGACTTCCAGTCCTGATGGCTACGCCCGGCCCATGACAAATGATTCGAGCAATGATCTTGCTTGGAGAATGTAACCTCGTGGTTTAGTACTACAGGTACTTCTAGAAGGCGTGGATCAACAATGTTTGCTATGCCATTCCTAACCCTCCATCTAACTCCGCCATCTAAAAATTACATAACGTGTTAAGGCCCGTAACTAGGGCTGGGAATTTTAGGGAAAACGCTTTGACCGTTAACCGGTTAACCGCCGCGTGACGTTTGACGTAATAATTATAATTTCAGCTTGTTACGTCACAATGGTTATAAAGCAATTTCACGTGTTCTTATCCCGATATCGCTCAAAATCATTCACGAATCGAGATAGTTTTATGATTCCTATGCTGCAAAAGATAGGCAGCGTGGTTCGGGCATGTGGAAATATTTTAGAGAACCTGATTCCGTTGTTAAACGTCATTTATGTGACAAATTTTGAGTGTTCTATGTGCAAATTCTACACACAGTTAGTAATATTTTCTTGAATTAAACGCCGCAAAAGATAAATTTGCGATGACGTAATCATATTTGAAGAAATTGTACGGTATAAAGATGATTTGTACCTGAGATGTCAGTTAACGGTTAAAATAAATCATAACCGTTAACCATATGAAATCGGTTAACCGGTTAACCATTCCCAGCCCTACCCGTAACATAACATATACGGACGGTCAATCTATAATGACCAAGGTAGAAATATATCGAAGAACTTTGGGAATCACGGGTCAACGGATATATTTGGAGTGTAATCACCGACAAACTAAATACGTATATGTTCTCAGTCCTTACGTTCTAAAATCTAAACAGTCACTTCAGAGTGAATATATATAATGAACTTACGTGGATCAGTCTTTATCGGAGGCGCAGCACAGAACTTGCTCGTTGTCTTTTCAGTTCTTGCTGCCACTTGAAATGTGTGGGTTGTGCCAGCCTGGAGTTCCCTCTGGGGAATTTCGAAGTAGGTACTCTTGGGTGAAATACGATTTTGGTATGTGAGTGGAAGTCATTGCGTCCACTCTGTATTCCTTGAAGCCGTTTGTGTTTTCTGGTGGGTACCATCGTATCGCGATCACGCCCGTGCGCTTTTCGGCTCTGACGTGTTGAGGGCAATTCTCGTCACCTGTTTAAAAACAAAATACCATAAATCAGTGATGCCCAAAGTGGGCGATATCCCCCCGGGGTCTGCACTCTTTGGACCGCGGGACAGATCCGGCCCGCGTAGTAAAATAATCCGGCCCGCGACGCTTCACGGAATTATAGCGACAAAACGGCGGTTTTGATGATGAATTAATTTTATAATCTACGCTCGAGAAGTAGATTATATTTTTTACGTAACAGAACTCATCGTGATTCGTGAGACACTTTTATTAGACTAAATTATATTATAACCTAAAAATTTAGCAAACAGTTACTCGTTTAACGGTTACAATTTAATGATTGTTAGACAAATGGCAACACGCAGAAAAGTTGATGCTGAGGGCAGGGTTTCAATAGAGCAGAAAATATTGAAATGGAGCTCCTTAAGATGCAATGAGGAAATATAATTCATATTCTATTCGAGAGATGCATCACTGCTTGATTTTTATAAAAAAAATATCTTCTTAAAGAAAATCTCCCTGAAAATGACAAGCTATGGGTAAAAATTCACTTCGATGTTTGTAAGTACATGTGTGTTCGAACAATTATTTTTGAAAATGAACATTACAGAAAACAAGCAAAAATCTGGAATTAGTGATGCTCTTGGCTTCATTCAGTGTGCCGTCGAAAAGCTATCAAGCGTGATGCAGCAACAAAGCAGTGTCACGTTAAATGTAATTTTTTTTTTTAAAAAGACGACTGAGTTGAGTTCACGAATTGTCGCAGTCTTCGTGCGCCGTTCCGTTTTTAACTTTAAATATAATATGCATATAATATATATATGTGCGGCCCGCCAAGACTTGCAACCCTTAATTTTGTCCCGCGAGCGACAAAGGGTTGCCGACCCCTGCGCCGTCAGTGAGATTGGCCTGGCGAAAAAGTCACCGAATATTAAAAAACTTACTGAAAACTACCAAGCGCATTCACATCATTACAAACACTATGATCTGTGGCGTCAAAGGGTGTTTTTAGACGCCGCACTTCAAAGAGAGACCGCCGGCCGGTCACTAATTTAAGTGACATAATAGTGATTTATGACCCTAAAGTTTTGTTGATTCCACGGAACGAGAAAAACGGCCAGACCAGACATTAATGAATTGATTAAGACTCTTTCTACTTTTACCAACTCTAAATTTTGTTGGATTGGGTATGCTTCTACCGAAACAAGCAAGATCTGATTCTACCAGACTTTGCTAAATGAAATTGAAACACTTTGGAATAATATATGTCAGAATTATTAGCCAGTCGACCATAAAAAAAAGATTGATATTTTTAGCGATGATTTTTATGTCAATGCATAACACACACTGCCTTGTTTTGAACTTGAAATTGGCATCGACAATGTTTATTATATGTTGGAAAATACGGTACATTGATAGAGAGTGGTGGCAAATGTTTCGGGGGCCAAAATTAGAAGCAAAAGGATTTTCGCGGGCCAGGATACAGGCAAGTATACTTAAGCTACCGGTATAATTGAATTGTTACGAATATACACGTGCTCAAACTGTGATAATGATGTAAAAATTGTCGGTATCAAGAACGCAAAATAAAAAAATCATGAAGTTTTAAACTATTACACTCAATTTGGGCGGGCCATATTGACCAGTTACGCATGACGTAATCGGCGGGTCACGTTTTGAGAAAAGTGGTCTATGCAGTAAAACCTTATGAGAGAAAGAATTAGAAAATAGGAAATTATAAAAGGCTCATGTTACCTATGAATTTTGAAACAATTTCTGATTTGTTCTCCCAATCTCCTATCTTTGAGATGACCTGAAAAAATTCAGACTTGTGTATTCTGCACATTTCTAACGAGCGGAATTTGACTTCTGAGACATCTTCAAACCAGGGGTGTGCAACATTTTTGTCGGTGGGCTAAAACCCGACTTCAAAGTTGAAACGTGTAGCTTGACCACAATTTTTTTTCCATGTTCACAACGAATTACAATAATAAAGGGAACCGAGAAAACGACGACCTAACCCTAAACTGGTACACATATTACGTTCCGGTGTCCGCCACCTTGGTGTACATACTACACTGTAAAATGTTTTGTAATTTTACAGCCATTTCTTTGTAAAAAGTACGACCGTTTGGTAGTATTTTGGACGAGCAACTATTTATACGTATTTTTACATCATCGTGTTGTGATTTCACCGCTTGTACGATGTAAAATTACATATACTGTTGCATAATCATAAAACAAACATACGGTTGTTAAATATACAATCAATTATACGTAACATACAAAAACGACTGTACTGAATACAACTATCTCTCGGTTATGTTAAAATAAGTCCACTTGGTAGTGATCAAAAGCATAGAGTTCAGAAGACAGTCTTCCACATATTATCAGCAAAATGCTTGCCAATGAAAAATACATTGGTGCGACGAATTTGGTCCCAAACTGATACGAATTTGGCATCGCGTCATAAGGCGCAAGTCATACAATGCTACGTAAACCTGCGGCTTCGTATGTCATCGCGACATAGAATTTATAGCTCACGATAAAAAATCTTAACATTGCACTTAATATTATATCGAGTGGAAGAATATTTTATTTTGGGCATCATGTAAACTAGTGATTAAACTGACAGCACTCATTGTCAAACGGACAGGTCTACTTGCAGTCACGACTCCAACTACTGCTGAATCTTGTAGTTTTACGCTGTATCTTTTATCGGACCAAAGTATATGCAAATGTTTCGGTTAATATAATTTTGAATTGAGTGGCATATTTTTTTAATTTAACTATTTGCCTAATGCTCTTAAGTTTTAGAAATATCTCGGATCGCAACGGATTCGAATTTCGAATTAGAATTTTATGACTCCGCCAAAGCCTGACGTACTTTCCCGCCAAAATGGCTGTTTAGTTCGGATTCCAGTTTCGCTAGGACAGCGTTTCCCAACCTTTCTTGGTCGCGGACTGTTTACTCACTGGCGAAAACCTTTGTGGACCCAAAGAGCGTTTATTGCAACCGTACTCTGTGTGAAGAAGCAATAAAACCGAACACAACATTAAAATTTCAAAATTGGAAATTCGCCGCTACTACGCGTTCGTTAAAAGAGCCGACTTTTTTTTAGTGTATA